AAACATTCCGACGCCTAGCTGAAGTGAGCTTGTTGGGGCTTTATTAAAACTAGCAAGAGTGAATTTGAAATAATTGAAATCGTTGTAATTTGTTATTAATAGAAAATGAGCATGGAAATAAGGAGGAAGACTTGAATTCTTTTGCCTTTGGTTAGAAACACGAAAAACGTGCGACGCTTATTTGTAACGGAGCGAGCCAATACGCCAGACAAAGCAAGCAAGAAAGAACCCCAATTGTTATTTGAGTATTGAATTACAAAGAGAGGAAAATTGTTGCTTGCTGTGCCCTCGAGAGCACGGCTTGCCTACCCCAACAGCTCAAAACAGCTGAGACTTTCAGGATGAGTCCAGCGGTCCGTTATTATTAATATAATTAATAAAGGTTTTAATTAGAGATTTTAATATAAAATGTATAAATATTTCATCTTAATTATTTTGAAGTAAATATATATAATTTAACTTTTGGATAATCAAAATTTATTTGACTATCATAAGGGATGTTCATTTTAATTTAAAGCAGTAATTTTATGCAGTAGAATAATACTATATTTGTTAAAAGTAAATTTCCACACACAAAATTTTGTTATGCTGAATGAATTTTCTTTAATAAAAATCACAGTTTATTTCCAATATATAAAAAATAAAAAATTTTAACAAAAATTTGCGTTGTTTGGATACGGTTTAAAGTTCCTGTTGACATTAATAATTTGCGTTATTGTGCAAAACATGCAATTTAATAAAATGATTGATTGATTTTTTTGATACTGTGTAACACTATATTGCTTTCGAGAGAGAATTTTGTATGTGAAACTCTAAGAGTAATTCCGGCCAGTGCCTAAGGCGCTGCCAAAAAGGCTTAAACTTAATTTCTAGATTCTATATTTTCTATTCGCTTTTCTATGAGAATGAGGAAACTATTACGAGAGATCATATATTCAAGACAACTTGCCAATGTGGGCAAAAATTAGCAAAGATATGCAAACCTATGGGCTTCCGTAGAGGCACACGGCGTAAGGATGAGACGCCTGTAGATTTGCAGTTCTCGAATCAAAGATACACCAAAACTTTGATGATTGCTAATTTGATCGAACGACGACGTCAGACGCTGGTTCGACGGAGTCTAAAAATTTATATTACTCTTCGAGACTGCTTAAAATAAAACTCCTCCTGCTTTACTTTAAATGGCCAATGACGAGAGGGTTACAAAAATTATGTTCTATTTTAAAATATAAGGGTTGCAGTGAGACGGATGCTGTACGAAATGTGTTATGTTGCGGGGGCGGTGCTTTTCTTCATATTGTGCGCGCGGCGCTCTTCTCTCTTGAACGGATACAGTTTAGAGTGTAGAGTGTGTGCGTGCATATACGTTTGGGTTTATCTAACTGGGTTACAATGATTAAAGCATTTATTAAAATTTAAATTACTAATTCGAATAAATTTCGCCTTGCCAAAAATTCTCTCTCCGAAAAATCATATGAAATACAATGTACTAAATAACTAAAAGAATAAAATAAATGCGATTTTTAAAATTAAATACTTCGCCCCGTGTAATATAAAATATTATATGCCATGAAAATAAAATCTAACTTATAAATAAATTTCTTAAAATCTAATATTCCTCAAACTTTTAACCTCCAGACAAAACTTTGGAATCAATTCATTATAAAAGAACACAAAATTATTATCTTCATATCTTGTTCATGCAATGATTTGTACAGAGCACCACACTTAATCCACCTTAAAAAAATGGAATAACTTAAATAATTAAAAAAAAACCATAGTATAGTTTTTCCCCCATTTCTTTTTGCAGATGAACGTGTGTTGTACGACCATAGTAATTTCTGCACCATATCTTGTAGTGCAAATTCCTCGACTCACCAGAGTTAGAATCGAGCAAACACAGAGGATGAATTCAAGGCAAAGCGACGCGGTGCAAACGGGAAACTCAGGAAAGCGTAAAAAGTTTGCACCGCTTCATTGAAATATTCTTGAGAATATGAATTTTTCAATGAATCAGTGCATTTTATTATATATTATTTATAAATGAAAATTCGTGAAAGGTACAATGCGTTGGCAAGGGTCAAGCGATCTTTACAAAATTTTAGGACCAATAAGACCATGTCAGGAGGTTTTCAAAAATATATACTTTCACCCCAATATCTCAAAATTTACGGGTTTTACGGGACGTTCAAAATTGGGTTTTTGAAAATTTCAAACGGCTGTATCTCGGCTTTCCGTGATCGTACAACAAAAATCCGGAAATGGCTGAATTTCTCTTGTCACCTTCTACAACTTTGCTGTTGAACGCAAAATTGTAAGTCACAGGTCAAGGTCATTTTTGGTGACCTCGTGTCCTTTGACCTCAAATTTGACAGCTTGGCACAAACGTTTTTGAAAATCTGAAATAGCCATTGTGTAGAATGTAAAATTTTACATTAAAAACAATCTTTAAAAAAGTGTTATGTGTCACAGTTTTTTTACTTAAAAAATAAGAAACTCAAAAAACGTGGTTTTCCGAGCTCCGGCCAGGCTGAAAATTAGCTTTGAACCTACGAAACTTTTTCCCTGTTAGATTTAAGACAACATGTATACTCACAAAAAGTGATCCCCTTAACTTTTTCTTTCAGACCATGTATCGCACATAGTGACCAGATCACAAAAGGTCATTGACCTTGGTGACCTTTGACCTTACCACAATATATTTTGCAAGCGTGGCACATGGCTTGAAAGAGCATATCAAGAGGAACTTTTTGATACGTAGAACTTTGTTGTAGCTATACTAGGAGCAGAGTTTTCGCATTTTTTCGTGGGCGAAAATGACAATTTTAAAAATAATTTATCTTTTGAGCTACGATAACTCTGCTCCTAGTATAGCTACAAAAAAGTTCTAAGTATCAAAATGTTCCTCTTGATATGGTCTTTCAAACTATGTGCCTCACTTGCAAAATATATTGTGGTAAGGTCAAAGGTCACCAAGGTCAATGACCTTTTGTGATCTGGTCACTATGTGCGATACATGGTCTGAAGGAAAAAGTTAAGGGAATCACTTTTTGTGAGTATAGATGTTGTCTTAAATCTAACAGGGAAAAAGTTTCGTAGGTTCAAAGCTAATTTTCAGCCTGGCCGGAGCTCGGAAAACCACGTTTTTTGAGTTTCTTATTTTTTAAGTAAAAAAACTGTGACACATAACACTTTTTTTAAGATTGTTTTTAATGTAAAATTTTACATTCTACACAATGGCTATTTCAGATTTTCAAAAACGTTTGTGCCAAGCTGTCAAATTTGAGGTCAAAGGACACGAGGTCACCAAAAGTGACCTTGACCTGTGACCTACAATTTTGCGTTCAACAGCAAAGTTGTAGAAGGTGACAAGAGAAATTCAGCCATTTCCGGATTTTTGTTTACGATCACGGAAAGCCGAGATACAGCCGTTTGAAATTTTCAAAAACCCAATTTTGAACGTCCCGTAAAACCCGTAAATTTTGAGATATTGGGGTGAAAGTATATATTTTTGAAAACCTCCTGACATGGTCTTTTTGGTCCTAAAATTTTGTAAAGATCGCTTGACCCTTGCCAACGCATTGTACCTTTCACGAATAAATATATAAATAATCCTCCCATTTGAACTGAACTCAAAGAAACAATAATTTACATTTTGAATTTTCATTGCGTTTTGCATGCGATTACTCAGTTTGACTATTTTTTTTTTTTAATTCTCTCGTTTGCGCCGATAACTGCGAAACGTCCATCTGGAAGAATATGAGTTGCGGCCGAAAAACAAACACCCTCGCGGCGGCTTTTTTCTCAAATGCGGGAGCATTATTTATTATTGGAGAGTAGATTATCTCTCTTTTGCAGTTTTTATTCTCATCGGCCGCCAGCCTCATGTGCAAACATTTTGCATGTGAGGAGGTCTCGTGTCAAATGTGATGGGCCCGTCCGTAATGTGATATACTCTTGTGCATTATTCACGAGCTCGTCGCGCGCCCCGCCGCATTTTTCATGCCGGAGACTCAAATCAAAGAGGTCCAATCTTAAATTATTATCTTGGGCATAATGTTTGCTGTGGATCAAATTCCACATTGTCCTCTTTATTTGGGTAAAAAATTTAAATAGTAATTAATGCAGAGCTATAGGTTAATTTTTCTTGCACTGCTTTATTAAGGAATAAAATTTTAGATAGAGGAAATCTTTGGTCATTTTATTGCATCTTAATTAGTTCTTGGACAGTTCATGTACTTCATGTAAATACAATTCTTTAAAAATGAGATTAAATTAAATTTGAAGTGATTAAAGACTAGCAAAATTTAAATTTTGAATGTGAAATGTGAATGAACAAAAGCGTCTGAAAATGACCTGAGGTTGGCACTTTCACAACCCTGACGAGCACTGCCTCTCTGAGGAAGGCTCTGCGCGTCCGCCACACGCCAAGAAGAAGAATTCAAAGAAGAATAAGGACCACCGGAATGGCTGCAGAGTTGCCGCAGGGGCCTCTCAATTAATTGCTCGAAAATAATTTTGAATTCTTAAGCCAATCAGTCAGTGAGCAGAGGTTCGGTATCGCCGCCCAGTCACAGGACTCACCCGTACTCGGTACAAATTTTTATTTTTCATCAATAGAAGAAAAGTTATGCTCTTAATTGAATTTGCAGATACCAGAAAAGCATCCGAACGGTGCAATGAATGGAGCTTCGATGAACACAATCAGCCGCCTGGCCAGCACTACTGGCCTCACAGTCACGCCTACGCAAAGTAGAGGTGAGTCGATGATGTTAAGAAATAGTTGAGTATGCAACCTGCATGACTTATTAGCAGTGCAGGTTGCCTTAAAAGTTAAGTAGCAGAACTGTTTTGCACCTTAACATAATATTAAGTACTTTAATCAAGTAATCCATTTATATCTCAATTGTAACAATATTTTTATTCAAGTATAAGCTTGTCAAAAAGTTGTCTTTTTATTTCATACAAAATGTATTTGTAAAAATAACAACACTGTGTGCGACTCTGATAAAATTTTGAAATGAAAATAATTTAGATATTCTTTTTCAGGGTTGTGCAAAATATATCATTTGTGCCTCAATATTTAAATTCCAAAATTCAGTCTTTTATAGGAAATCAAATTCAAAATATTGCTTTTCAAATTGAGCAATTGATAATGAGTGAATAAAACAAGGAAATCCCTAGATACAGGGTAAGCGAAACATGGAACAAACGCGATTCATACGAAGCTAATTTGGCCAGGGATCCTTTAAGTAATTAGTTAGAATAGTTAGTTAAGCACAAAGTACGGCCAAGTTAAATGTGGGACATGTAGGATGGCAATCTCAGCAGCCTTGACGGCAGGAGGCTGGACGCTGGTCTGCACAATTGAAATGGGCTTATTCTTATCGGATCCCAGAGCAACACAACAGATTTCTAATCGCTCGTAACGACAGCTTCATAGTGAAGCAGGTAGGCGTTTGTCTTCGTAGCTACGTCTTGCAGCTCCCTCTCGAAGAAGTTTGGCATAGTACGTACCCTATGATCGTCACAGTTGATCCATTTTTCTTCAAAATTACTGAAGACGAACGAGAGGTAATGCCCGGATGTTGAGAGCAGCCCTTCATGCAGAACTAGTCCCTTCAGTCTGTACAATTGCTAAAAAAAGTTTCAATGTAAATTGAAATTTATCCAAATATTAAAATGCATTTAATACCTTGCTGTTGGTGTTCTGCGTCTTTGAGGATATGCCATCGTGTGTGGACTGGTCAGAGTCGGGATCTTTCATTCTACAAATTAAAAGTTTAAAAAAAATTCATAAGTTTGAAAATAATATTTTTCATTGCCCGTGCCTCGTTTCACGTCGATTCAAAACGATTTCAGGAGAGATTTCGATAGGCTTCTTGTCTCTCAATGTATTGCCAAACTGGGTTCTACCGATCTGAACCATCAGGCTTCTATAATAACATCAAATTAAGAAAATCAGATAAAAAACTACTTAAAAAGCTTGCAAGTTTTTTTTAATAGAAAAAGTTTATAGTGATGCTAAGTAAGCCTGGTTTTCACTGCAATAAAATAATGTATTAAAATATTTACATCGGCAGCATCAAAAACTCGGTATGCACGGTTCTCTCCTCACTACAACACAACCTGTCTTCACTCAGGCTAAGGTCGATCAATTCTTGGACTGTCTTGTTACACTGCGGTGTGATGAAGTGGAACAGGGAGGGTTGCGGTTTTCCGAATTGTTTTTTACATCTACACACAAAATTAAAGAATTTTTATATTAAAAATGCAATAGTTTCAGCTTCATTACTTATGACACAGGGAAGTTGTCGACATCAGGAAAGGACTTGCTGCATCCTCAAAACAACCAGTTTGGTTGAGTTGTCTGGTCAAGTTGGGCAAAAGGAAAGTCAAATATTCAATAGGGTCTTGCTGGCCCGCACCCATACCAAATTCCAGAGTTAGCTTGGCTAGATCCTTTATGCCCTTGTCAAGTTCAAATTGCTTTATTTTTTCTTTGCCCGCCACTTGTTTCGCAATCTTACAGAGGGATTGGATTTCTTCAGAAATATGTGCTCCTTTGGGAAACACCATTTGAGCAAAAAGACTCTGAAAGAGGTTTGAGGAGTTCAGCAGCTGAATCGATGAGATGACATAACAAATCACATTTGGATTCGTAAAGCTGTAAAAGTTAAATTAGATAAAATTAAATTTTTTAATAACTTTATACCCAGGGTGCTTTGTGATATCATTTGACTCAAGCACTTTTGAGCCAGCTTCAGGATCCATAACGAAATTTACATTCCCCTTGGGCATGATGTCAAGTTTGCTCAATTTTTGTATTTTTGGTGGGTGGCTGCCAATTTAAAGTTAAATTTGGTATATTTAGAGAGAAAATCAAAACGCTTACTTCTCTGTGAGACTGAGAGGCCTGGCTCTGTGATCACGTTTAGTCGTTTGTCTTTAAAAAAATGTGTCAGAAAAAAGATTGAAAGCAATTGCTAAATAAAAACTCACCCCTTAAAAGAAATTTGCCCAGCTTTGGCCATGATTCTCTTCATTGTGTCACGCATTAGCTCTGAGAGCCTCTTCAGATCTGCGCTGGCGCTCCTGGGCACGCTAATTTTGGGTGGTTTGGTGGAACTCAGAATGTCTGGAACTGGAGGTAGCGTAGTTTTCTTGGAGCCCTCTTTTTGGACATCTCCATGTCCTTGGACTAGAACCTTCAATGAAGGGATCTCTCCACTGGCAATGATCAGATAGTTGACATCGTATATTGACTGCAAACATATGAAAAGAATTTTCCGTAACAGTATATTTACAACTTGAAAAAAATTATATTTACGAGGGGCCCCTTAAGTGTCAATTCGCAGGTGCCAAAAAAAAGAGTGGCAGTAAACATGATTCTACACTGCAAACAACCGATTAGATCAGGAATAGGAAAATCATAAGCTTCAAATTTCAAGCTGCACTGACGGACAACAATGCGATTTTTTGAAACACGAAAGGATTGGATTTGACTGCAGATTACAACAATCGGCAACAATCAAACAATGCCCAGAAGCCGCTCCAAAATTGGCAAATTTGCTGCTCTTTACATATAAGTCCATTAAATCAGAGTACTTGAAGAGCCACAAATTTAATAAACTGGCAAAAAACGAATTAATAAAAAATAAAATATTTTCAGGCTCCAAGGAGAAATTTTTCCATCACACAACTCGCAAATGAAAGCCCACCTTTCTCATAACTCAAAAGTTACGCATAAATATTATTATTATTATTGGGGGAGATTAAATAAAGACTTAGCTCTCTTGGCATAAAAGTTACACCGGGATAAATCCAACGGGATAAAAAATTTCATCCGACTGTTCCAGGATGAATAATTTTGATCCCGCCTATAATTTTTTCTATCAGTTCAATCGGAATAACGTTTTCTGAACCCGCGTCAACGGGATATACATTTAACCATCGCTATAATCAAATTAGCAAAAGATTAGTAATTTAGATTTGAAAAAATAACCTTGGCTGGTCTTGAGCAGGGTGAATCCATGATGTCCGGCTTGCTGATGATGATGGGGTTTGCTTTCCTGATAGGGGGCTGTCTTCAAAACGTTCCCTTTGATTTTTGCAGTCTTGCCAAGACCTCAGTCTTCTGCAGCTCCACCGACTGAAACCAAAATTTTAATCGATTTATTAAGAGAAACAGTGGCAAATGAGATTTTTCCCAAATATCAGAGGGTAAAATACATGTTATCACTCGAGACTTGTGGCAAAACAGAATTAATAAATGTTTTTTAATTAGAAAAGAGTTTATACCTGTGTGAAGTGTCAATATTCCTCTTTGGCCTCCTCCAACAAGGATTCCATGGGTGAGAGCCGACGCCAGTTCAGGTAAACCAGGGTGCCAAGCCAGGCAACCCAGCATCCAACAGTTGGGGTTGAGGGTTTTCGCTCCCGCCCTTTTAACAACGACTCTGTGGCTACTCGTACGGCGGGCGCTGTGTAGGGAACACAATCCGAGAAAGGACACTGACAGGTTGTTCTGGCTTAGCAAAGTAAAGAAGAGTTGGTGAGAGACTAGCCAGCCTCCGAGGTCAAGAAGCACCAAGGCCGAGCGGTTCACCCCTTTAGAGCCCACCAAAGCCATTTCCGAGCTGGATGGAATCTGCTGGATAAAATCTGTAAATGTGAAATTTCTAGTTTAAGAATAAAGAGAAAGACACGAGGCTCTATGCATTTGTAAAAACCCATAGAGCCGCGCGTTACGTCGGTCAATTTGGCAACCGAAGACGCTGCGAGTGTCTTTGCTTGGACGAGCAAGGTTTCGCTTGTAATTCCCTCCGAGGAGTGAAGACGTCCATCAAGTGAGTCTGGAGTTGTTTCACCGGCAAAGTGTCGATTGAAGTCTCAACTCGATCCGAGGCTGAAAGAGAGAGAAGAAAGGTGACAACAAAGAAATAATAAGTTCCATTTTAACAGCGACTTATCTGACGAGAATAGTAAATAGCGCTAAAAGCAGGTTTGCGATCCAGCAACATATGGAAGTCGTGTCCAACGCTTGCGGCATCCTGTCCTGCACCACCCTTTTTGTACACCCCATCGAGATTCCTCCAAGGGCCGGTGTGCACTGTTGAAAGCCAAGTACATAATTTAAAAACGTCTTTCAAGAATTTTATATATATTGCTCACCATCAAATTCCGATGAATGTCACATATATTTTCTTTAGCGACTCCTTTTAGCACTCTGTAAACATTAGAATTCACATTGGACAATTTTAATTATTAAATTATTTGCAAGGGTTAATTTGAGTTTACGCAGTTAATGTTAAAAATTTAGATAAATTTCATGAACAGAATTATAATAATAACCTGGTCAGGTCAGAAAATATTTTTGTAACATTGCCATAGAATTTTTATTGATACATAAATTAAAAATATTGTTTACAATTTATTTGTTAAAATATGCATGAGTTCACAGTCAATTTAATTAACTTTGGAATTAATTTAGCCTCACCTCAAAAGATAAGTTTTCCAATCCTCTCTTTTCTTTTTCTGGCACCGTTTCTTGCTAAAACTTTTGGACATAAATAAAAACGTCAAATTGTGACACAAAACTTCCCAAACAGGCAACAGAGGCACAAAACACGGCAATCGGCACCTCATCTTTTCTTTCTTTTCACTTGTTGACGGCGTCCGGCCGTCCGCATAAGCACGTAATCTTAACAACCATACTCAATACAAAGTTTATGATTGAAAAACACAAATCTCCTCATTAATCTAGTATGCGAACAACACAAATCACACAAATTATGCATCAGCTGCGAAAACTTTGCCTGATTGAGAAATATTTTATTTCAAACATGTGTCGTGGGACATCTAGCGGTGAACTAATAAATTAAACGTCTTGAATTCCAAAAGTTCAAGGCGCGAATAAATTAAGACGTTTAATTTATTAGTTCACCGCTAGATGTCCCACGACACATGTTTGAAATAAAATATTTCTCAATCAGGCAAAGTTTTCGCAGCTGATGCATAATTTGTGTGATTTGTGTTGTTCGCATACTAGATTAATGAGGAGATTTGTGTTTTTCAATCATAAACTTTGTATTGAGTATGGTTGTTAAGATTACGTGCTTATGCGGACGGCCGGACGCCGTCAACAAGTGAAAAGAAAGAAAAGATGAGGTGCCGATTGCCGTGTTTTGTGCCTCTGTTGCCTGTTTGGGAAGTTTTGTGTCACAATTTGACGTTTTTATTTATGTCCAAAAGTTTTAGCAAGAAACGGTGCCAGAAAAAGAAAAGAGAGGATTGGAAAACTTATCTTTTGAGGTGAGGCTAAATTAATTCCAAAGTTAATTAAATTGACTGTGAACTCATGCATATTTTAACAAATAAATTGTAAACAATATTTTTAATTTATGTATCAATAAAAATTCTATGGCAATGTTACAAAAATATTTTCTGACCTGACCAGGTTATTATTATAATTCTGTTCATGAAATTTATCTAAATTTTTAACATTAACTGCGTAAACTCAAATTAACCCTTGCAAATAATTTAATAATTAAAATTGTCCAATGTGAATTCTAATGTTTACAGAGTGCTAAAAGGAGTCGCTAAAGAAAATATATGTGACATTCATCGGAATTTGATGGTGAGCAATATATATAAAATTCTTGAAAGACGTTTTTAAATTATGTACTTGGCTTTCAACAGTGCACACCGGCCCTTGGAGGAATCTCGATGGGGTGTACAAAAAGGGTGGTGCAGGACAGGATGCCGCAAGCGTTGGACACGACTTCCATATGTTGCTGGATCGCAAACCTGCTTTTAGCGCTATTTACTATTCTCGTCAGATAAGTCGCTGTTAAAATGGAACTTATTATTTCTTTGTTGTCACCTTTCTTCTCTCTCTTTCAGCCTCGGATCGAGTTGAGACTTCAATCGACACTTTGCCGGTGAAACAACTCCAGACTCACTTGATGGACGTCTTCACTCCTCGGAGGGAATTACAAGCGAAACCTTGCTCGTCCAAGCAAAGACACTCGCAGCGTCTTCGGTTGCCAAATTGACCGACGTAACGCGCGGCTCTATGGGTTTTTACAAATGCATAGAGCCTCGTGTCTTTCTCTTTATTCTTAAACTAGAAATTTCACATTTACAGATTTTATCCAGCAGATTCCATCCAGCTCGGAAATGGCTTTGGTGGGCTCTAAAGGGGTGAACCGCTCGGCCTTGGTGCTTCTTGACCTCGGAGGCTGGCTAGTCTCTCACCAACTCTTCTTTACTTTGCTAAGCCAGAACAACCTGTCAGTGTCCTTTCTCGGATTGTGTTCCCTACACAGCGCCCGCCGTACGAGTAGCCACAGAGTCGTTGTTAAAAGGGCGGGAGCGAAAACCCTCAACCCCAACTGTTGGATGCTGGGTTGCCTGGCTTGGCACCCTGGTTTACCTGAACTGGCGTCGGCTCTCACCCATGGAATCCTTGTTGGAGGAGGCCAAAGAGGAATATTGACACTTCACACAGGTATAAACTCTTTTCTAATTAAAAAACATTTATTAATTCTGTTTTGCCACAAGTCTCGAGTGATAACATGTATTTTACCCTCTGATATTTGGGAAAAATCTCATTTGCCACTGTTTCTCTTAATAAATCGATTAAAATTTTGGTTTCAGTCGGTGGAGCTGCAGAAGACTGAGGTCTTGGCAAGACTGCAAAAATCAAAGGGAACGTTTTGAAGACAGCCCCCTATCAGGAAAGCAAACCCCATCATCATCAGCAAGCCGGACATCATGGATTCACCCTGCTCAAGACCAGCCAAGGTTATTTTTTCAAATCTAAATTACTAATCTTTTGCACATGTTGGGCGAACGCATGTATGGTTTTCCAAATGCAAAAACTGGAGACTCTATGACTGCAGTCAATATTTACTTTTTTTCAGTTCACTAATTTTAGTTTTGTTAAGTAATGAAATATTTAAAAACAATTTTAATTAGTTGAGTTACAAAAAAAAAATGGCACATTCATTTCAATTTTTCAAATTGAATTCACAATATTACATCACGAAGGGGTGGAAAATGAAATTTTGATAGGTGCCACGTGATCCTTGCTGTTAAAAAAAAAACTATCATCTCATCTTTCATGTTTATCAAAAACAAGACTAGTAATTACTCACGGCACCCACCTAAATTTTGTTTTCCACACCATGGTGATTTATTGTGAATTTAATTATTCTGATTACTCTGATTTAATGGACTTATATGTAAAGAGCAGCAATTTCGCCAATTTCTGAATTTGTGGTAATTTAGGAGCGGCGTCTGATAACGTCAAATCAGGGCATTGTTTGATTGTTGCCGATCTGCCGTCAAAATCCAATCCTTTCATGTTTTAAAAGGACCAAAAAGAGTCACGCAAGCCTCTCATTTCTTTTCACAATAATTTTCACCGCATTTTTTTTTTTTTTTTTACAGTGTTAATTTGAAAATCATTAATCGGCTGAATCACATCATTTGACCCTCCTTAAATAATTTATTATTTTTAACATGCTTTTTATAAAGTTAGGGTGACTCTGTTAAAATAAAAATTACAAAATATAATTTAGATTGTTGCTGTAAAGTTTAAAATTCCTATTGTTGTCTGATAATTTTGTTGCTTGATTTTTAAGCGCTGATTAAGAAACAACGGAAATATTCTCGAACGGAAATAACGATGTACAAAGCGCGAATACGATATGGCGATTATGAGTTTGACTTTAAAGAAAACCTGGTAAATATAATTTTTTTCAAACTGTTATTTTATTGTAAATTAAAATTCTTTCCATTTGATTGCAGACTTTCCAAGAGGTTGGATTTTTAGTTGTTGCTTGCCAAGACATGAAGCACTTGAAGATTATCATTCAGGCCAACGAAGGAACCAAAATAAAAAACTCTCTTCTGCCTTCATATGAAGTGAGTAAGATTCTTGGGGATGCCGACCCCCCGAAATTCAAAATACCGAGAAGTGCATCTGAGGACCAGAAACAAATCTGCTTGAGACTTCGACGTATTTTAAGCAATATAAAAATCAAAGCCAAGAAAAGCGAGCCGGACGAGTGAGTTTTATGAAGCATTTATACACAATATTATAATTATTTTATTTATATTGCATTCCTCAAGAAATGCTCAAGAAATCCTCCAGAAATATGGGCAGCGAATCCACAGAGCCAAGATCCAAGGACCCTCCGATAAAGAGTAAGCTATTGAATATTTATAAAAAAAAAATACTAAAAAATTGACTTAGAATGAGCAGCAGCAAGGAAGAGAAACAGGGATGTCCCCCAAAGAAATATAAATATGCTGAGGGCCAGGAAAAGAGCAATGTAGACCTTGAAAATTTTGGGTATTCAAATTAATTTCTTATGTTGATCAAATCTCTTCTTTTAGCATCAAAAGAAACTAGCCATATTGTTAACTTTTACAACAATTTTCTTAATGAAAGTAAGAAAAAAATCTATTATTGAATATTTGAGTTCGAGGATATAATATTATATTTTTTTATATCTTCTCATAACTCTGAATATACATTCCAAAGCAAACATAATTATTATAATTGAAAATGATGTATACATTGTATATTTATATATATTTAATTTTATAGGTTGTCTGGATCTTTGAAATCCACTAATTCTGTCCTAAACCCTGTGCCAATAAATGCTGTCTCCAATTTGCCCAAGACCGAGCACCCTGGGTATATCGTTATTTACAATTTTAATTGTATCTTATTTTAGTTTTCACAGATTTAAAAATCCAGGGGTGTACTGCTACCTGATTTCGAGTGTACAGCTCCTCCTCTCTGCATCCCCTTTCGTGAAAATCTTTGAAGCTATGACTTTTAGCAAGATCCTCGACATCAAAGAGCTGGATGCTTTGAAACTGATCGTCGACAGAGTGGCCCGGAGCAACTTTGCCAGCCAAAACGATCTAGATAATGCTATTCTGGATCTTGGACATTTAACTGTCTCGTTTGGAATGGCTAAGGGCGAACAACAGGATCCTGTTGAGATAATTACGCTGATTCTCCCCCACTTGGCCTCCAAGCTGAAGAAAATTGATAAAAATGCTGACCCAGTGACACCTTTCTTGATGTCCACCATTTCTCTCTGTAGAATGTAATGAAGCTGAAATTATTATTTTTGTTACAAAAATTCTTCAATTTAATTTTTTTTTATAGTTGCAAAAATGTTTTTGGCAATACTGATCCAGGGATATTTTTGACGGTCGTACCAAATGTCAAGTTGCTGAACATTCAGGAGCTTATTGAGCATAGTTTGAGAGACGACAGGAGATGCTGCTGTGCAGTGGAAACTTTGCAGAGCAAGTTCCTGGTGATCCCGGAGTAAGGATTTTATTAAATTTTTTTTATTGAAGTGAAAACCCGGCTAAACCTCATTATAAAATTGTTTTTATAGAAAAACCTTCATACCAGTTTTGTTTTCGGTAATTTTTTTAACTGCTTGTCTTCTGATGTTATAGCTGCCTTCTTGTGCAAGTGGCCAGAAATAGATATGGATCAAATATTCGGAGCAAGGATCACGTGCAGATCAGTAAGGAAATCGCTCTACCTGTTTTTGGGGAGACACATGGGTAATGAAAAATTTTATTTACAAACCTGCATTTGCTTAATTTAATTTGTAGCTTTAATGACGAGTATGACAAGAACGCTGAGCATCAAATGCCAACTGATGCACTGGCAAATATCAAGGTATTAATTGCAATGAAATTTTTTAGATCGAATTTCAATTAAATAATGGAAATTTTTTAGAAATCCTACCAGCTAAAGGCGATTATTTTGCATCAGGGCACCCAATGTGATCGTGGTCATTACATCTGCTACACCATGAGCAAGCAAGAAAAGCAATGGCTGCTCTGTGATGATAGCAAGATCTCCGTGGTGAAGAACTTTGATGATGACATTTTGAATGCAGATTCTACCAAAGAGGATTGCTACGTGTTACTTTATGAGGCTGTGGGACATACCCCAGCTGCCAGGCAGCGTTGACGCGTCAACCCTATTGAGGCCGCCCTGGCCCCCAAGCTTGAGCGCACACCTCCTGCTAGCTGCACAACCAATTTCCTTTGATGCCAGGCGCCCCCGTCGCACCCCTAACTTCTCTCAATATTATCCTTAAATAAATGTCAATTACTTTCTGTGTCTAGGCCTATCAAATCTTCTTTGCTTTATTAATTGAAACAATCCACTACCTGAGAGCCAATTAATTTCCCATTTATCTCTCGCAGGTACTACGGAGTGATAAAATAGGCGTAGTTATATCTAAAAGTGGCCAGGGTAAAAAAATCTTAATATCTACGTATAGTAAAAATCATACGCTTATTTAAACCAAATTGAAAAAAGTAAAAAATTTATAAGATCTTCGAAACACAGCAACACAATTCAAAGATCTTTAGGCTTCTCTTTCCTCACAGCATTATTATTTATTTTTTGTCATCCTGAGATCTCTATTTGCTTGAGTAACTGGGTATTTCATATGTTTAAAAAAATACTTTAATGTTTCACTAATTACTTTCTAACATTTAATTTAATTTTCTATTAATTTAATTCGACGGAAAACAAAAAAATTCCTCCGCAAGAAGCAAAATAGTACTGATATTAATTAATTTATCAGAGCAGCCGTGCGACAATGCTAATCGCTGTCAATCTGATTGCCTTATTCAGCACGCCGTGGTGCCACCATAACTCGCCATAAAAAATTTCCAGCGATTTTCAAGCTCAAGCGTAGACAACTGCTCTCCTATGTACTCTAATGATATAAATTGATAATATTATATCAAATTACCATAGAGTTGTGATCCAAGTAATGATCATTAGTATTTGCCCGATTACGTTGTAGGGAAATATGTATTTTATTTTCACATAATATTCACATGGAAGAAACAATTTGGAATTGCGTCTTTACTTTTTTACACACACTTACACAGATGACTTTTCTAATATCTTATTTACATCAAATTTTACTAAATATAAAGCTGTCTATTGAAGTGTAATTGTATATTTTACATAATTTATATTAGGAACTTTAATTGATATGGCGCTGTGCTGTGAAAACTTTATTGAAATATGCAAAATGATTGAATTGAATCAGTAGTGCCGATTTAAAATGAGTAAATTTGTGTCCATCGGTAAGCCAAAAGCAGACATTTTAAAATTCTATCAAATGATTCTAGTTTATACGGGTGAGTGGGCGGCTATACCGAACCTCTGCTCACTGACTGATCGGTTTAAGAATTCAAAATTATTTTCGAGCAATTAATTGAGAGGCCCCTGCGGCAACTCTGCAGCCATTCCGGTGGTCCTTATTCTTCTTTGAATTCTTCTTCTTGGCGTGTGGCGGACGCGCAGAGCCTTCCTCAGAGAGGCAGTGCTCGTCAGGGTTGTGAAAGTGCCAACCTCAGGTCATTTTCAGACGCTTTTGTTCATTCACATTTCACATTCAAAATTTAAATTTTGCTAGTCTTTAATCACTTCAAATTTAATTTAATCTCATTTTTAAAGAATTGTATTTACATGAAGTACATGAACTGTCCAAGAACTAATTAAGATGCAATAAAATGACCAAAGATTTCCTCTATCTAAAATTTTATTCCTTAATAAAGCAGTGCAAGAAAAATTAACCTATAGCTCTGCATTAATTACTATTTAAATTTTTTACCCAAATAAAGAAGACAATGTGGAATTTGATCCACAGCAAACATTATGCCCAAGATAATAATTTAAGATTGGACCTCTTTGATTTGAGTCTCCGCATGAAAAATGCGGCGGGGCGCGCGACGAGCTCGTGAATAATGTACAAGAGTATATCACATTACGGACGGGCCCATCACATTTGACACGAGACCTCCTCACATGCAAAATGTTTGCACATGAGGCTGGCGGCCGATGAGAATAAAAACTGCAAAAGAGAGATAATCTACTCTCCAATAATAAATAATGCTCCCGCATTTGAGAAAAAAGCCGCCGCGAGGGTGTTTGTTTTTCGGCCGCAACTCATATTCTTCCAGATGGACGTTTCGCAGTTATCGGCGCAAACGAGAGAATTAAAAAAAAAATAGTCAAACTGAGTAATCGCATGCAAAACGCAATGAAAATTCAAAATGTAAATTATTGTTTCTTCGAGTTCAGTTCAAGGGGAGGATTATTTTATAAATAAAATGCACTGATTGCGGTGCAAATTTTTTACGCTTTCCTGAGATTCCCGTTTGCACCCTCGCTTTTTGCCTTGACCTCTGTGTTTGCTCGATTCAAACTTTGGTGAGTCGAGGAATTTGCACTACAAGATTTATGGTGCAGAAATTACTATGGTCGGACGACACACGTTCATCTGCAAAAAGAAATGGGGAAAAACTATATTATGGGGTTATTTTTAATTATTTAAGTTATTCCATTTTTTAAGGAGGACTAAGTGTGGTGCTCAGTACAAATTATTGCATGAAAAAAATGTGGATTAAGAGCAAAGATAATAATTTTGTGTTCTTTTGTAATGAATTGATTCCAAAGTTTTGTCTGGAGGTTAAAAGTCCTCATTTTTTACCTTTGAGAGTTAATGATAAATTTTGTATTAATTTTTTTAAATTTCTTAACAGTTTTTAACTCACAAATAAAAATTCTCCGAGGCGGAATGACAGAAAAGGACGACGCCGCATCCGTTCAATGCTGCCGAGTCGCCCTGACGATAAAGTGGAGAAAAAATACCTGACCGAACTCTAAACGGCCCTGCGAGCAACAATCAGTCCTTTTAAACCCAAGCAATTTTTTTAAAGCTACCTAAGAACCTAAGCACTGGTATATTGATTAAATTGTAATAAAATAATTTAATAAAGCGCTCAAATACAAATTAATAATTCAAATAAAAATTTCATCTAAATTTCAGCAAATTTTTTTTTAATAATTTTTTATATAATCTGAGTAGATTATGCTCAAATCGTCATTCAAAGTTTGTTGAGCTCGCAATTTTCTGCCGATACAAAGTTGAAATCATATTTCTTAATTTCCAGTCCGTCCATAATTTTTAAATTTGAGTGGAAGAGCAGGAGAAATGCTGAAACTCCTGCGGCACAGTGTCATTAACTTATTCGCGGCGCTATTAGTGAAAAGAAATGAGCAGCGCGAGAACGCGGTCATTACGGCGCCAGCCAGAGACGGCCAGGAGTGACGCCATCAGTGACTACAATAAGGGGTCCAAGGGTGGCGCCTTTGCTGAATTCCCCCTCCACGCGCCGTTGCTCCCAGTCCCACACATCACCGATCACCGAATTGTGAGGAACGCTCCGGAACGCTCATTATAAGGAGAGTAAAATAGGATAGGAGAGGCGAAGAGGAGGTGGCTTATGGCCCAGCTCAATGTTAAAAGATAGGACTGGGCCCAAGGTCACCCAGATAGTCCCGCCCCTTCGCCCCTCCTAACTATTTTACTCTCCTTAGCTCATTAGCTCAAGTCGCGAATGTGTGGCGTGTGCCAGTGTGCCCGTGTGGCGTGTGCCGTGCCTCGAGTTAGGGCTGATAACTGAGCTAGTAAGACAAATAATAACAAAGCCGAGTTGTTTTTACTCGTCTGATTTAGTGAAGCATATATGTCAGTATGGCCGGGTTGGATGCTGTGTCTCGACTGCTCGACAGGAACAGGGAACTGATTTCGCGCGAGCTCGAGTCGACCAAGATCCTCGGCTTGCTGGTGAAAAAGGGTGTGCTCTCGGTCGACGAGGAACAGGCCGTCAACAGCCACACCGACGCCAACCTCCGGTGCGACGTCTTCGTCAGGGTGCTCGGCTCGCCCAGAAGGGATTGTCTGCCTTCAGGGAGCTGTGCTACGCCCTCAAGAAAGAGTGTCCTCATGTGCTCACCAGCCTGCTCGTCGACGCCGGCAGAAATTACCCTGCAACAGGTAAAATTCGAAAAATTCATAAGATACATAATTTTATTAAAAAAAAAAAAAAAAAAACTTGAAATTATACTTAAAATAATCGAGAGTTTGAATGAAAAAATATTTAATTCACCAAATTGAAATATTCTGTTTAAATTAATGATTTTTTTTTATTTTTAACTGTGGGAAATCACGATCGACGCGTCGCTGATCGCATGCAAATCATCAATGAAACTCATAAATAATCAGCCTTGGTCGTGCTTTTTGGCTTGATAAAGTCGCATTTTAACGCTGCTTCAGTGTTGCAGAAATTTGCGAATGAAACTCAGCTTAATTTTCTTTGGCTGTCGATCAGAAGCGGAAATGTAAAAAAGTTTTAATAATAACTTTTGGATGGATTTCTCTGAAAGCAGAACTCGTTCAAAGGGAAATTATTTGATGTTATTAATACCAATTTATAATATATTTATTACTTTTAGTGTGAACTCTAAAATAATCAGAAATATAATTGTGCAACTTGCGGTAATTTGAACACAGGATTATTGATGGGAAATCACACTAGCTTTTTCGTATGGTGCGCATATAATATTTATGTTCACTGGAGACGCGACTCGTCGCATTAAGGGAAAAAAATTAGTTTGCGATTCCAGTGCTCATTCGGTCCGTACCTTGTTTTGGTTTCTTAGATTTCGCTCTTGTGGCTAAGCAGATTAAATCGCCGCGAATAAGTTAATGACACTGTTGCCCCAGGAGTTTCAGCATTTCTCCTGCTCTTCCACTCAAATTTAAAAATTATGGACGGACTGGAAATTTAGAATTATGATTTCAGCTTTGAATCGGCAGAAAATTGCGAGCTCAACAAACTTTAAATGACGATTCTAGCATAATCTAATCAGATTATAAAACAATTATTAAAAATAATTTTTGCTGAAATTTAGCTAAGAATTTTTATTCATTATTAATTTTTATTGGCTTTATTAGTATTTTTATTATAATTTAATCAATATACCAGTGCTTAGGTACTTAGGTAGCTTTAAAAAAAATTGCTTGGGTTTAAAAGGACTGATTGTTGCTGGCAGGGCCGTTTAGAGTTCCGACTTCCGACGTGCTATTTTTAATAACAAGGTTTCTGATCACAATACCTATATTACGAAAATTAAATAACAAGTCACTATATTTTCTAGGACGAAATAGTCCCGACGTGCTATTGTTAATAACAAGATTTATTGTCTGCTGAAGGAGTTGAAGCACAAGAACATAGTGCGTCTCTACGATGTTCTGCACAGCGACAAAAAGCTGACTTTGGTCTTCGAGCACTGCGACCAAGACTTGAAAAAGTACTTTGACAGCCTCAACGGAGAAATCGACCCCGACGTCGTCAAGTCTTTCATGTAAATCTCAAACCGACCTTTAAGTTATAAATATAATTGATGTATTAATTCTCCAAAGGTATCAACTTCTCCGAGGACTGGCGTTTTGTCACAGCCACAATGTCCTGCACCGTGATCTCAAACCTCAAAATTTGCTTACAAACAAGGTCAGCTTTTCCCCAAAATAACCAAAAGAGGGTTTATTTTCTTCGTAATTCTACCACTCTAATTTATTATTATTTGTTTTTGGTAGAATTATCCAGCAGGTCCGATGCTTTTTTATTAATCAAGAGTTACTTTTTTTAAGTTCAATTTCTCATTTTCTTTAGTGCAAAAAGAACTAAAGGACTTGATAATTTAGTACAAATTGAATAAATTATTGGTTTTCAATTATTGCTATTTTTTTCTTATAGAATGGTGAGTTGAAGCTGGCTGACTTTGGTCTGGCCCGAGCTTTTGGCATTCCGGTCAAATGTTATTCTGCCGAGGTCGTCACCCTCTGGTATCGTCCGCCCGACGTCCTTTTCGGAGCCAAACTCTACACCACGTCTATCGACATGTGGTCGGCTGGATGCATTTTCGCAGGTAACCTTTTGTTTGACCAATAATAGAGGGAATTTTACTAATTTTGAATTCTTCAGAGCTGGCCAATGCTGGTCGTCCTTTATTCCCTGGGTCTGACGTTGATGATCAGCTGAAACGGATCTTCAAGCTGCTTGGCACTCCGACCGAGAGCACCTGGCCAGGAGTAACTCAACTGCCAGACTTCAAAGCATTCCCAATCTATCATCCTAGCATGAGCTTTTCACAAGTGGTGCCAAAACTCAGTTCAAAAGGGCGTGATTTGTTGCAGGTATTTAGATGAAAAAAATTCAAAACGCTCAACTTACAAAAAAGAAAATTGGAAACAATGAGAAGAAATTAAATTTAATTAATAATTTTGCTTGATTTCTAATATTTATATTTTATTTGCTGTATGATTCAATTATTGAATGCTCCACAAAAATAAAAAAAATTTAAATCTTTTATCCCCATAAATCCAACTTCTGTGGTTTTTAAGTAATTTTTATTTTATTAAATCATTAGACCCTAAAAATGTTTTTAAATTTCAGCATCTGCTTGTGTGTAATCCTGCTCTTCGGATGTCAGCGGAGGATGCGATGGCACACCAGTATTTCAGCGATCTTAGTTCTGCAATTAAGAACGACCGATGTCAATAGCACGAGTCCCTCCCTGGCCGCAAACGAATTCACTCGCTTGTTTAGCATTTGTGCCATCCCGACTAAAAGACATCTAGTCTAGCTTCGGAATAGTTTTTAGCCGCAACCACTGCGACAATTCACCACATCACATTATTTCATCTTAGGTGGAAGAGACTAAGGTTGTTTTGTTTATTGTGCTTTCAGAAGAGTTGCACCAAATTTGTGCATTAATTTGCCATGTTTTGATAAATGTTGATTTTGTATTTAGCATGCTTAAACTATAAGATGTTATCGTATCAGGCCATTAAGAAATTTTATTCCAAAATGTGGATCTTTCTTTGTTATTGCTGTAGTATTTTATTATATTATATTAAAAATATACTTAAATCAAATGTCATTTTAAAATTATGCATGGTAGGTGATGTCATTGTGGAAGTATCCGTGCAGCATCCGTGGCAAGTTTGTGATGATTTAATGTACTCAATTGATATTAGTGTTTAATATCCAATCAAGGATGGACGCGATCTCAAATTTTTGCGATCGCGATTTTGAAAATTAAAAATTGTGCGATTGCGATCCTGAAAATTAAAAATTGTGCGATCGCGATCGCGATCATGAAATTGAAAAATCGTGCGATTGCGATCGCGATCAAAAACATTGCGATCATTTGCCATCAAATATATTTTTTAAAAATAAATTTCCGAACGTTTCTTTTATCAATTCTGGTTTCAGAACGAGGAGTCCGAACAAAAATGAACTCCGTAAATGAAAAGCCTTAGTTTAAGAAATTTTTCTGTCAAATTACTTGAAATTGACATTTTTTCTTCCAGATTTAGCATTAAATTCGCCAAGATTAAGCATAAAAATTTTTCTTTCCTCGATCGCAAATGATCGCCTGCAATCAACCACCTTTTGCGATTGCGATCGCGATCATATTTTCAAAAATTGGTGCGATCGCGATCAGATCGCAATCGCGGATCGCAGATCGCTTTTGCGATTTTGTCCATCCTTGTATCCAATAAATATGTCCACCACTTACAATTAGAGAAGTTAATTTAAGGGATTCGATCAGAGTAATAACCAACATTTTTTTATTAATTTGCCTGATGAAGTCTTAAAGACAATTTTATTTTATTCTCAAATAGAGCCAATTTTGATTAGGGCTGCCAGGTCACCAAAATGGCTCGGCTGTGGCGGATCGGGGAATTTTTCCAGCGGCACTTTTCACTATTGCAAAGTCACAAAAACGAAACTAATGAAGCCAATTTTTTGTAGTTTATATAGACAGTTTAATTTGGCCAGTAATAAAATTAGAGAGTTAATTCTTTTGGTGGCTCTATTCGGTTGTATATAAAAACTGCCACAATTACAATTTTTCTGAGTGAGGCTCACCAAAGGAGAACATCGTTAATTTTTAATACAAACGAACCGTAAAATTTGCATATTCATTAAATATTCTCAAATGCAGCCGTCCTCTGACTGATTTTTAGCAAAAGTTTGCGACTGGTACATTTGGGGTGACTTTCGAGGGAGGATGCGGTCCACTTGGAAATCCATTAGCAGTATGTTTTTCATTAATTATATAAAATATACTCTAACTTAAAACTACTGCATTGCATAATGCGAAAATAAAATTTTTTCTTCAATAAAAATTAGAAGATTGGCTGCTGCGGTTTGAAGGGACGATATTAAAAATTGTGTATTTTTCGCGAAAAATTACATGGTTTTTTTTTTAACTTTTCTGGATGCATAATATGAAAAAAAAAAAAAAAAAAAAAAAAAAAAAAATTCTTGCCGACCAGTAACATTCATGACTTGGCTTGGCTCTCCATTTCAAGAATATAATGTCACTCAAAATTACAAAAAAAAAATCGATCCTACATAGTAAAGCTTGAAATTTGACTAGTTCATATACAAGTATTTAATATATTCATTTTAAGAATTCACGTTATCGACCCTCCTAACCACCTAAAATTTGAATATAAGATAGCCAGCCCCTATAATTTTTAGGATGAACTTAAAGGTTCTGTTGGCGAGTTTACCTATATTTTGAAAGAAAAATAGCACACTTAACTATCCTTGATTTATAGGTTTCAATGAGATTGTCCTTAAATTTTACAAAGGAATATAGTAGAATATAGCAAGTGCTTTAATTCTATAAAGACACAGACGTGATAGAGCACCCTTTTTATTTTCACAAAAATTGTCTGTTAAGTGGCAAAAATTTTGACTAAAATATAGGCATTCACTATATTTTCCAGGTCATAGACGTTATATAAAAATAGACCAAGTTTGAATTTCACACTATTTAGGTTTCTATGAGATTGACCTTAATTTTACAAACGCATATAGCAAAATATAGCAAGTGCTTTTCTATTAAGGACACAGACGTGATAGAGCGCCCTTTTTATTTTCACATTTCACGTTCAGCCCGCCTAATCTCCTTAAATTTGTATATTAAATGTTGAGCCACTATAAATTTTAGGAATAAATTTAAGGTTCTGTGTGCGAATTGACGTATATTTTGAAAAAAAATAGCACTTCACTATCCTTTTCAGGACTGAGTCGTGATAGAGCGCCCTTTTTGTTTTCACAATAATCGTCTGTTAAGTGGCAAAAATTTTGATTAAAATTAGGCATTCACTATATTTTCCAGGTCACAGACGTTATAGACCAAGTTTGAATTTTACACTATTTAGGTTTCTATGAGATTGACCTTAATTTTACAAAGGCATATAGCAGAATATAGCAAGTGCTTTTCTATTAAGGACACAGACGTGATAGAGCGCCCTTTTTATTTTCACATTTCACGTTCAGCCCGCCTAATCTCCTTAAATTTGTATATTAAATGGTGAGCCACTATAATTTTTAGGATTAAATTTAAGGTTCTGTTGGCGAGTAGACCAATATTTTGCAAGAAAAATAGCACTTCACTATCCTTTTCAGGACTGAGTCGTGATAGAGCGCCCTTTTTGTTTTCACAATAATCGTCTGTTAAGTGGCAAAAATTTTGATTAAAATTAGGCATTCACTATATTTTCCAGGTCACAGACGTTATAGACCAAGTTTAAATTTTACACTATTTAGGTTTCTATGAGATTGACCTTAATTTTACAAAGGCATATAGCAGATTATAGCAAGTGCTTTTCTATAAAGGACACAGACGTGATAGAGCGCCCTTTTTATTTTCACATTTCACGTTCAGCCCGCCTAATCTCCTTAAATTTGTATATTAAATGGTGAGCCACTATAAATTTTAGGAATAAATTTAAGGTTCTGTGTGCGAATTGACGTATATTTTGAAAAAAAATAGCACTTCACTATCCTTTTCAAGACTGAGTCGTGATAGAGCGCCCTTTTTGTTTTCACAATAATCGTCTGTTAAGTGGCAAAAATTTTGATTAAAATTAGGCATTCACTATATTTTCCAGGTCACAGACGTTATAGACCAAGTTTAAATTTTACACTATTTAGGTTTCTATGAGATTGACCTTAATTTTACAAAGGCATATAGCAGATTATAGCAAGTGCTTTTCTATAAAGGACACAGACGTGATAGAGCGCCCTTTTTATTTTCACATTTCACGTTCAGCCCGCCTAATCTCCTTAAATTTGTATATTAAATGGTGAGCCACTATAAATTTTAGGAATAAATTTAAGGTTCTGTGTGCGAATTGACGTATATTTTGAAAAAAAATAGCACTTCACTATCCTTTTCAGGACTGAGTCGTGATAGAGCGCCCTTTTTGTTTTCACAATAATCGTCTGTTAAGTGGCAAAAATTTTGATTAAAATTAGGCATTCACTATATTTTCCAGGTCACAGACGTTATAGACCAAGTTTAAATTTTACACTATTTAGGTTTCTATGAGATTGACCTTAATTTTACAAAGGCATATAGCAGATTATAGCAAGTGCTTTTCTATAAAGGACACAGACGTGATAGAGCGCCCTTTTTATTTTCACATTTCACGTTCAGCCCGCCTAATCTCCTTAAATTTGTATTTTAAATGGTGAGCCACTATAAATTTTAGGATAAAATTTAAGGTTCTGTGTGCGAATTGACGTATATTTTGAAAGAAAAATAGCACTTCACTATCCTTTTCAGGACTGAGTCGTGATAGAGCGCCCTTTTTAATTTCACAATTATCGTCTATTGGGCGGCAGAAATTTTCATAAAAATATAGCCAGAATTCCTTCCTTATGCATACATAGTGCTCCGCATTAAAATACAATTGTCCTACCATGGTAGGATAACAATAATTCCAACCTACAAATTCAACGAGACGATTCTGTAGATGATTTTGATGTTTCATTCGCCAAATATTTATGCATTTCTTCAACGAATTGATCAATTTTAATTTCACGTTTTATTTTTACTGTAAAACTATTAAAATTTTCTAGATTTTGGCGTACTTAATTAATGTAATTCTCAGTAGTGTGCGGAATGAAGATATTTTTCTTTGAAATTGCAAAATTAATTTTGCATTGTAGCAAATGGAATAAGATTGACTTTCAATCGAATGTAATTAATTTTAAATAAAGGATATACCTGTTTATCGAAGCACGCTTCACTTGAGACTCACTCGACTGCCGCGTCTTTTGATTTTCTTGACTGGCGAATATCCATAGTGTGCATGCACGTTTTATACCTACCCCCACTCCGTTACACATTAACAATGTTTGATTAGGAGGTGATACCGCTTCCTATGCCGGGCTGTCACCATGGACCTAATATTACTAGTGTTGAGAGCCGTATCTCGTTAACTACTGGACCATATTTCAAAACTTGGAAGGAGGAACTTTTCCACAAACTCACTGGCGGTTGGGTTTAAATCAATATTCTTTTGTGTACATTAACTATACATTAGTAATGAAGGAAAATGGGGAGTCGCTAAATGTGCCATTGGCTTTTACAAGAACTTATGTTTTCCCGTAAAGTTTGTATTATAGCGCTTGATTGCAAATAACAGCCCAATATATTATTTAATTTTCATATTTTTTCAAGTTTTAATGAATGGACTTCTGCTCGGCAGGTGAAACAGAGTTATAATGTCTTAATTTTAGCAAAGAGGTAAAACAATAAATAACTATTTCCTTAAATTTAGTTGTTGATGTAGTTGGTAAGCGACGTAATGGATAACTCAAGGATTGGACAAAGATGCAGAAATATATTTCAGGAAAAGTATATATCATATTGAAATCTCTGTTGATACTGCTTCTTGGCTATCAAATTATACATAATACCGCGCAAAGGCCGTATATAAATATTTGTAACATATTAAATAAAGCTAATCATTTTGTTAATGGTAAATCAAATCCGAGCAAGTTTTTATTCATGTAAATATATGAACTACCACCATTATTTTATTTTTGATAATATTTTTTTTTTAAATTATTGAGGCTTCCAATTGGGGTCAAAGTGCTTCTTCAAAGGTTGCCAGCATTCGTAATAGGTGTGATCCAACTTCTGGCACGTTTCCTCTCCCCACTTGGTCACTGCCAAACTCAGCGATGACTCGAACATGAAAGCCTTTAAAACACATTCAGATTTTGCACAATAATTTTTAAATTATACCTGTGTGCCATCAGCAACGCGCACTGGTTTCAGTTCTCCATTTGAGGCGCCTTCGAAACACTTGTAATCAGGGCCGTGGGGAGTCATCATCGAGTGGAGAGAGGCGCCGCCAGGGGCGAATCCATCCTCCTTGGCTTCGTAATTGCCCTTAATCAGTCCCATGAACTCACTCATGCAGTTCCCTAAAATTTAATTTTAGTTATCAAAATAATTTTAATTAATCATTCAAAGAATTTTTACAAATTAAAATCAACTCACTGTGGTAGTATGGAGGTCGGAATGTGTGTTCCTGGACCGCCCAGCGCGGAGGGAAGATCACAAAGTCAGCGATTGCTGCTCCGGGCTTGTTCGAAGGGCAAGTCAGCACAGTGAAAATCGAAGGGTCCTGGAATAAATTTTTTATTTCTCCTTGCACCTTGATGAAAAATATATATTATATTAAAATTACAGCGTGGTCAAACTGCGTGGCGTTGATGACCATGAAGTGGTCCAGGTTGTATTTGTACGGCGCGTAGTTTCCGTGCCAGGCGACCACGTCGAAGGGGCTGTGCAACTGCTTGGCTTCAAACAGTTTACCCTGGAACTTGGAGACCACCCTGAACCCTTCAGGTACATCTCGGTCCTCGTAACAAGCCACTGGCGTCAGGAAGTCTCTTGGGTTTGCCAAACCGTTGGCGCCTTTAGATAAAAAATTAATTAAAAATAAATTTCAATCAAGTATTTTATTAGAGCTATTGAATATATTTCCTCATATAACTTGAATTATAATTTTAAATTAAAAAAGAAATGAAATATTTAATTTGTCTACTTTTCATGCTTGTTTTATTTTACCAATGGGTCCGAGGTTTGGAAGTTGGAAGTGCCCGTCATAGACTTCGAGAATGTAGCCACGAGTTGGCCCTTCCACTTCAATACTGAAGCGAATTCCTTGCTGTATTAAAATTAATTTTGATTTTAAATTATTTCAAAAAATTTGTATTTGTTTTAGATCTCAGACCTGAATAACACAGATTTCATTGGGGTTGACAATCAGCTTTCCAAATTCGGTCGTAATTTTGAGGCGGCCTTGCTGCGGAACTAAATTTGGTACAATTAATTTGAATAATTTTAATTTCACTATTTTTTTCTTACCGAACAAGAAGTCACCGTCGGAGTTGTAAAGGCAAGAGTTGGTCATGGAAGTGTTGCATAAGTAAACGTGGACCGCGATTCCGTTTCGAGTCTTCGCATCTCCGGCGCCACAAACGGTGTGCAAGCCCTGGAGGAAATCGACTGCTTTCTCCAAGGCAGGAATATCGTAGGGCCTCCAACGCATCTGTAAATACTTTAATTATTTAAATATTTCAATTTAATCTGAAATGATTATACCTGATTTGGATTCGGCTCATTTTCGTTCCAGTCGTGGTTGAAAAATTTGGGAGCAGCTTGAAGTGGCGCAAATGGTTTGTGAATGACAGACGGACGGATCCTGTACAACCACGACCTCTGGTTCTCAGTCCTGGGGGCTTGAATAAAAATTTATTGGAAATATCAATTAGTTAAATTATTTCAAGAATGATAAAAAAAAGAAAAAAATAAACAGCAATAAAATAATTTTAAAATTTAACTGGCCAAAAAGGATATAATTTTTTATTGAAATGGGAAAATGAAATTAATGCACCAAACTTTGATATTAAAAATACATATTTTTATCATTTTTGCTACTATTTTATGGGAAATAACCTATGAAAACGTCATTTTAATTCAATAAAAAATTAAATTATAAAAGTATTAAAAAAGCCTATATTTATAATGGTTTAAACATCTTTTAAGGCAGATGAAGTTTGTTCTTTTTCAAATATTAAAATAATTAAAATTCCGCATCATCCAGTAAAAAAATTAGAAGTTTGTATTTAACGGCGCTCTTGCAAAAGCACGCAGAATAAGAGTTTATTTTCGGCTTTTTCAATTGTTGACAGCTTAGTGTTTTCAATGTGCGTGCAGGGGCACCCGCACTCTAACGTGAGCGAGAAAGAAACAAAAGCTACACACCATGCTAATCTCTCGCTCTTTCTGGCGGGCGTTTAATTTTAGAGCGCCCAGAATTTCGAGAACAAAGTCTATCAGTCCTCGCGAGGCACCGCCCGATTCGATAAACTCCAATATTGATTTTAAATTAATTGTTATCCTCGACCATGGACCCTGAGACGATTCGGAAGAAAGGTTCGGCCCTGCTGAAGGACGGTGTCTATTTAGAAGCGGTGGCAAATTTTACCAAGAGCATCGCTCTGGCTACGGACGAATCCTCCAAAGGTCTCGGCTACGCCGCCCGAAGCGCCGCCCTTCAGGCAACAGGACACTTCATTCAGGCCATCGAAGACGCCCGTCGCGCCCTGACACACAACTACCCTGAGATTCTCAGGTACCAGCTACACCTGCGGACGGCCGAGTGCTGGAAGGCGTTGGGCCGAGTGTCCGAGAGTGACGAGAGCCTTTGCGAGGCCCAGAGGTCCATTCGGGACGGCCCGTTGTCCGAGAAGAAAAAGCAAGAGTTGCTGGAGGCGGTCAGGGAGGAGAAAAAGGATCCCAGGTCGGCGCCAGGGCTGAGTGTCCGGTACCTGAAAGCGCCCCCGTTGAGCCACGGCGCCAGGACGGACAACGAGAGACTTTCCAATGCGGTCGAGGTGAAAAATGACTCAAAGTTCGGCAGGCACTTAATTGCGGCAAGAGACATTAACACAGGTAAAAATTATTTATGTTTATTAAAGTAGTATTTTAAATGCAAAATTAAGATTATAATGTCATCAATAAACGGGCGAAAAAGTCCCTCACGCTTCTGCTAAAAGCTCAAGTCCAGCGTAAATAAGATTTTTTTTCCCGAATCAGAATTTTTCGTTGGAATTTCCCATTTTTTTTTATTTCCTTAGGGGACGTTTTAGTAGTGGAGGATCCAGTCATTTCATTTCTCATTGAGACAGAAAATCTTGAAAAGGGTAATAAGGAGGCAATTTGGACGCACTGTTCACACTGCTACAAAATGTGCCTCACTTTGGAGCCCTGCAAAAGTTGCAAATGGGTAAGGAGGACGGATCTTTAGTTTAAAATTCTTCAACATAAAAATAATAAGAAAAATGGAATTAAGTTTTAGATTAATAAATGTTTTAATTGAAAAAATATAACTAGTTTAGAAAAGATGAACCTTGCGTAAAATACAGAGTATGAAAGTATTTTGTGAGGAAAATTGTTCACAAAAAAAATTTACAATAAAATATTGTATAAAATTTTAAATTAAGTGTTAAAAACGGCACAATTACTCTATTGTGTTTCATAAAACGTGTTGGACTGTTTTCAATTTCAATGTTAAATTTAAATAGATGAACAGATAATATTAATTTCAAAAGATAATAAAATTATTGATTTGAAAATAAAATAATTTATACATAATTAATAAATAGTTAAAATAGAATAAATTTATTCTCTTCATAATTCAAGCTACAGAATTAAATTTCTTCGTTTTTCTAAGATAAAAATTTACAAAAAAATTTATAATCAATAAAATTTAAAAAATAAATTGGCTTAACAAAATTGTAATTAATAAAATTACTAGGCTCTTTACTGCAGCACCGAGTGTGAAGAATCGGCCTGGCGTGGCTACCACAAGGACGAGTGCCGCATGCGACGCAAATACGATGCCCTGAAGGCCCCGTCCGACCCTGACAGCACCAGTTCGTGGGTGCGGATCATGCTGAAAGTGCTGTCCACCTTCCCTGACCCAAAGATATCCGAAGCGCTTTCGCTGCTGCCGGATGTTTTCCCTGACGAGAAAATGGAGCGCGTCGGAAAATTGGCGCAGACCTTGTGCAGGGTTTGCTGCGAGGACTGCGAGGAGCAGCAAAGGTTGGCGGGGGTTTGCGTCAGGGCGCTGCTCGTCTTCCAGCGCAACTCGTACACCATAGACGAGAGCCACGTGGTCCCCTCGGCGGACGCCTTCCGCCTGCGACAGGTCATCGGCAGGGGTTTGTACCCGACGGTGGCGCTCATCAACCACTCGTGCGACGCCAATGTCACCAGGGTGTTTCACCTCGGCACGCAGGTTTGACACGAATATCAAAATTTATAAAAAAAAAAAACTCCAAAATTAATTAATACCATAGAGTATTAATAAATTAAGTCATTTTATATCTTACAGTTACATTTCCGGACATTAATTTTTACTTTAGGAGACAACAATGCTCTAGAGACGATAAAATATCAAATTTGAATTATTCAATCGAGGATTCTGGAAATACAATTAAAAATGACTTCTTTTTGAGACTTTGACTAGTCTTTTTCATTTTATTTTTATTTTTTATTTTAAATTTTTCAGGTTGTCAAAGCTATTCGACCCATCAAAAAGGGCCAACAGATATTCGGCAGCTACGGCCCTGATTACGGAGGAATGCCCAGGTCGCGAAGACAAGCGATCCTGCGAGAAAAATTTTACTTTGAGTGCGACTGCGACCCCTGCCAGTCAAATTGGCCTCTGATCGCGACCACCATGGGATACGTACCGGAATTCCTGAGAAAGCCATCGATTTTGCCCCTCCTTAGAGAAGTAATTTTCCCTCTAATGTTAAAAAAAGATATATATTTTTATTTTTTCTAGGTGGTGCAAAAGGTGATAGTAGGAAAAACTATTCAAGGACGCAATTACTCGGCAATCATCAACGAGGAAATTTTGAACAAATGCTTGGCCCTCCAAAAATTGTACTTTGAGGCGGGAGAATCCAGGGTCGATTGGATTTACTTTTTCACTGAAAAATTCATCGTCAGCAACTTTGACCTTTCAGCTAAAATATGGGTGGCTAACAAAGGGGAAATGGGAGATTCGTATTTGTCAGCGTTCAACGAAGAGACAATTTTTCAAGCCGATTGAAACATACGGACATTTGAAGAGTCAAAGATTTGCCTAATTTAATTTTGATTATTTTGAAAATCAAGAAGAACAAACTTCCATCAAGAGCAAAAATATTACAAAAATCGGCAAAAATTTTTAAATTTAAATAAAAATTGTAAAATTTTTCATTTTAAATTTTAGGTTTTTAAAATTTACATTTTTTTTAAAAATTTCTTTCATATGACTCACAATCAGTCAGACTGGCTGCGTCTTTAATTACTATAATTTTTTTTTTAATTCTTTAATATTGGCTGTTTTAGAGCTAATTTCTGTATTGACCGAGAAGAATAAATAGTAATAACAAAAATAAATGAATATATCAAATGATCAAACCTGTGAAAGCAGTTCCAGACAATTGCTCGGCGTAGAGTCCGTAGGGGCATTTTTGGGGGTTGTTTTGGCCGACGGGGAGGGCGCCTGGGCAGCGTGGATCCTCAGTCGCAAATTCGTTGCCAAATCCGCTCAGATACTGGAAAATAATTTGAGGTGCGTCAAGTAGTGAAGGGACATCGCAAAGAAAAAAAAGCATATTTTTTTTTATACCAATTCAACAATAACCAGTTTTTTAAAGAGTCGGAAATCGCTGGAAAAATTGTACTAAAATAATTTAATGATGCGCGTTGCGTAAATGATATTTTTGAAATTAATTTCTTATTTTGTTGGAAAGTCTTGAAATTTTGGCGAATTTGGTTCAAACTTATTTTTTTAATAATGCGTGTTATTGGTTATTGGCGTCAAATCACAGGGTTTGCTTGTGCGCAATTAAAAACGGATTTTATGGCCGCAGGGGAAGAAATGAAGTAAATAATAAGAAAGAAAACCGCTGTTGGCGAGTCGAAGCTCTCAAGGTGAGCGAGAGGCGGCAGAGCAGCGATTTGAGAAAATAATCTAGAAGAGGACGACGCGTGTCGCCAGGGCACGTCGGCTTTTCTGGAAGGCCCAGTAATTATCAATTGAGGAAAAAGCCTTCTCTAATAAATAATTTTTTTGAATTATAAGGAGTTTTACATGCTTAATAAAAAGCTCATTTGTGTAGTAAAAAATTGAAGCACGAAAAATAAGAAAATAAATAAATGAATGATTAAAAAATGTTTCAAAGAGATCGAATGATCAAACATCGGGAACAACAAGAAATGATTAACCTTATTTGAATATCTCAAGATTGCAGAATTAAAAATTTCGCTCGCGTTATTGAATTTTGCATCCCCAGAGCTGATTTTAATTCTCATGATATTAACTTTTTAAATAATTACAATTAGATACTTAAGCGTCACAAAAATATTTAAATTAAATGGATATATTGTTAATTTTTTACAAAATATACATAAGAGTAAATTTTTCGTGCACTTTTTTTTCCTTATTTACCTTGAATTGTTCGTTTGTGGACATCGTTGTTGACCCCTTGGCTGTCACGCTGGCAATGGAATGGGAGGCCCGGCGACTTAAATTTTGTTCTTTTTTACTCTCTCCACTGCCGCGATCTGAAGATACACCTTTTTTTAATGAACCTGCTGCTGGCGGCTTTTAAAAATTTATGACGAAACGCTGCCGAGTGTGTGTTTACTTCATTGGCGAGCATACGAGGGCTCGTTTTACTCCTTCTCCAATCGCGCGACCACACTTCTCTACGACCAACCAGTCAACCCAAGGACACTGATGCAGTGCGCACTTATCAATGCTAATTATCTTCGCAAATTGTGAAATCATCTTGCAAAAAATTGTGCGGTTTCAAGGGAAATTAGCTTTCTTAAAATTTTACTTCATTAAAAGATTCTAAAATAATGTTTGAACTGAAAATTAACACTTGAGGTGGATTTCATATTAAAAGCTCACAAAAATTTTGACGAAAATTAAAAATAATAGGTATGTTTTAAGATGACACATATTTACAAACAGCGACTTTAAAAACAAAACCGAATTGGTAATTAATTTTTAATTTGTTTAAAATTAATTTTTAATTTGTTTAAAATTAATGGGAGAGAAAAAAAGGGTGAAATTTTATAACAACAATTAAAATTTTTACTTTCAAAACTTCCTCAATTTATTAATATATTAGGACGTGAGTTATCCTTTTGGAATAAAAAGATTTCAGGACTATTGTTATTTTTTCAAATAAAAAATCAAATAATAACAAGATTTCATTTTAATGTTTAATTTTAAAACTCTGAAAGATTTAAGAACCTATCGATTAATTCCTGAATTGAATTATAAGGGACAAAGAAATGAAAACGAATTACAATCATTTTTAATTTTTGATTTTATTCTGTACTTTTCTGACTTACACATAGAGAGCAACACATCTCCAAACATTCAAGTTATTGAGTTGTTGTAGTAATTTGTTCTTTGCATGGACGACTACCTCAAAAAATTCAGTATCCAAACTTTGTTTTCTCGTTCAAGTGGTTTTTCAAAGTATCCAAAAATTGTTGCCGCCCACCGGGTATTGTTGTGTGTTTGTGTCGAGTGAGTGAGTGAAAGAGTGTCTGTTTTTCACAATGAATAATATATTCAAAACGGAGCTCTAATAATTTAACACATATCAATAACTGAGCAGAGGCCTGAATTGGCACAATTCACTAGTATATTAGAAATGTCTCAACTTTTTCATCCTCCGGTATAATTTTACAAAGAGCCTGGTTTCTTTTTGTCCCGTCTGCAGTTGTATTTTTTTTTTGGTTGTATTCAATGTTTTGTGGCATCAGTGATCACCAGTATAAAAAGTAGTTTTCTAACATTTACAAAACAACTGTCTCCACTTTATATTTTTATCCATATTACATTCTTAGGGAGTAACATCGAGTTGCAACATCGTGTGTGTGTATTACGGTTTTTTGTCCACATAATCGTCAAAAAGGTGCTTCATTATTGCCCGTCGGTCAATTCCAGCTTTGACGAATAATGATTCACAACATTCAACATCCTGACTGACTTCTTGTTTTCAATACTTTTCCTGTTTCCGTCCTTAAATGAGTAAACATCTATAGATCGTTTTTCCCGAAATCAAAACACAACATTACACATTTGATTCATTTTGTCTCCATTTTGTGCTCGTTTTTTAGTTTCAAACTAACATTCTTTGTCCAATCAGAGTAAAGTTTTTCTTCTTCAATTTTCAAGAAAGTTATTGAGATCAAAAACACACTACAAGACTACTAAATTATGTAGGTAGAAATAATTGTATTTTTTTACTTCTTTCGAGAAAGAAAACAACTGCTTGACAAGTATATTTTTTCTCCAACAAAACGCGACAAGACAGTTTTGGTCCGTCGGCTCTACAGATCCTCTTTCGACTATTATTTTTAAATAATGTACTTTTAATTATGATCCGATCCGCTACATGTGCTAATATTTAACGTCTGCTTCCAATTATATGTTTTACGGTGTACAATCAATCAAGGGACGCAAACACATAAGACAACATCTTCAATTGTTACACTTTATGGCAGTTAATTAATAAAAAAGCTGAAGCTTGTTCTTTTTTTCACTCAATTTGTGCAGAAGGGCAAGAAACGACAAGATTTTATAACAAAATGAAATTACTGATAAGGAACTGAAAATAAACTTGGTTTTACTAAAAGTTAATTGTTTTTTTTCTTACAAGGTATGATCCCGAGATGACACACGCCGATTATGTTGAAAGTTGGTATGCAACTTGCACTACCCTTGGGTGTTATGGAATGGCTATCAAAAGTTGCCCAATTTCACAAGGGAGGGTAGTTTCCATTAAAACGCATGTTAAAAACGATCAGATGTAGGCAACAAAAGCGTCCTCTGTGTATATAAGTTGCCTACATCTGATTTCTCCAATGTAATTCAAATTACATGGAGTTTAAATGGCAAAAATTAAACAAGGAAAATTGGGCAAAAATTAATTACCGTTCTGGGGTACCAATGGGTAGTAGAAGTTGTGCACCAATTTTCATTAAAATCGGGGTGTGTCATCTCGGGAGCATACCTTGTTAGAAGGGATTGTGATGCAGATTTTTACAATTCAACTTTTAAGTACGGTTTCAAGTGGGCAGTGCAGATGGTCGCAGGCAAACGCGTCGAACGCCCGGAATTAATTAATTATCCATCTCGTCATGATTCCCAAATAAATGCATTTCAGTAAAAATGAATGAATATTGGTCAATCCGAAAGCCACTCTAAATAATTCTACCTGGTCTGGAACTAAAAATAATCAAATCGATTTCTATAATTTTCTTTTTATGCTTAGTCGATTTATTTTTTGTGCTCGGTTCTTTTGTTGGATATTAATAAAAATATTGTTTCACTCTGCAATACCACTTTGCTTACTGTATGTGTTTCCCGTTTGTTATTTACACAATGAAGTCTATTAATTCAATTGAAATGATGCAAACCATTAGTTAATTATTATCACAACAAAAACACAAAAATATGTGAACATTTTCTTTCTTTTTCTTCACCCTCTCTTCTGCTTGCCTAAACAAATCAGTTCTGACTTTAGACAAAGGGGTACCGATTTTTAGGGTTTTGAGGGCGGGGCGGTTTCAGGGGCTCGATGGAGAAGGAAGGAAGGGTCTCGACTGCAGGTCAGCCGAGTCGGTGTGGCACACAAGCGAAATTCAAAAAAATTAATTTTCCATCTTGGACATTTCACCGAATATTTAAAAAAAGGAACTAATCAATACTTTTTCCATTTAGGTCAAAAGTAGTAAAACCCTAAATCAAAATCTGTCGTTGGCGACAGGAGGTCTACGACTGTAGTCGAAAGATGACAAAACCAATAATTATACAAAAATATTCATTAAGAAAAAAAATAATAAGGAAACTCAGTTGGTTTCTCAAAATAACATAAGAAAATAGTTGCTTGTCTTTGTTGAATTTAATGAAATATATTATTATAAAAAGTACTGAGCCGTGCCGGATTTTGAGACGGAAGTCGGTTATTTTACTTTCCACTTGCTGTCGATTTGCAAGACTGACTTGAAACTAATTTGAGTTTTTACATTTCTCTGGTGGGAAGAAACAATTTTTCGCGTGTATCTGCTCTAAAGCTCACACTACACCCAAAACTCCAGCGCTACACCAGACTTGGGAGTATCGAACAAGTTTCTCCAAGTGGAAAAGGAAGAGTCTCAAGCTTCAAAAAGCGCAACTTTGCTCAACAATTAATGTGTATATTTTTCTCGCTTGAAATCAAAAGTATGATGCAGTTGTACTGTTTTCCGTAAATCATGTCCTTCGTCGTGTTTTGATTTTTAAAAATAAATTAAAACATTTGGTTTCTCGTCATTTCAAAATACACCATAGAAGTCCTGCTGCTGTATGCTTGATAATACTACTTGAAAATAAATTAAAAACGCGCTGTACCTTCCTCTCAAGCCTCGGTGGAGGTGATACCTCCGCTCTTGGGGGTGTAAGCAGTGGCGTTCGGGTCGAGGTTCGAATTGCAGGAGGGTTGCAGGCTCATGATGTGATCTCCCAACATCAGTTTGGACGAGTTGCCCATGGTCACCATCTCGAGGGCGGCGGGGCTGAAAGAGTCGGCCACGGCGATGACTTGGGTGATCTTCAACTTCAGCTCTTCGGTCTCCTTTTCCTTTGCGCGCAACAGATCTGAGAGGGAAAAATCCAAAGTTGAATTCTGAAATTTATTCAAACAGAAGCAAAGCTTACTTGAACTTATTTCCAGTTGCCTCTTGGCTTCGCCCAAGGCAGAGAAGAGATCCAGTTTAATGCGAGTCTCTGCACTCAGACTGTTCTCCAAGAGCATGTTTTTATCTTTCAAATTGGTCAGAGCCTGGCACAGTCTTTCAATCTCCGAGTGGCTTTCCTTGTAGGGGCGCAACATCTGTAAAAAATCAATTTTTTTCTGTTTTGAAGTTCTTTTAATAAAGATATTTATTAGATTTATTTCATTACAAATCCAGCCAATTTCAGTAGAAATTATTGGCTAGCACTTATCAGAGTAATTGCTTCAAGTTAAAAGCTCCTAATTGAAAAACGTAAAAAAAAGACACAAGATTTACATTAAAAGGAAATTTAAATAAAAATGAAATAAAAAAGGATTCCAAATTGAATTAACAAGTGGGAATTGAATTATTTAAAAAAAGTTCAAAGCAACGAAATGAGAATTTAAAAAAAAAATTAATAAAAATATCATTTATTTAAATTTATCAAACCAGAACATCTTAAAATATGAGATACTTTGTGGACCAGTAACAGATCAAAAAAAATTTGGTTGCAATAATTTAAAACCTGTTTCAGATTATTTACTTCATAAAACCAATAAACTGAACAGATAATTTAGTGATTTTAAATGACAATTACCAACATTCATTTACACTTACATTTGTTATAAAACCGTAAAACAGAAATAAATTTTCGTTTATAAACCAAATTTAAATAAGCGTCAGAATACGTTTTGTGTTTAATATTCAAATAAAAAAGATCGGTGAAAAGAGTTTGTAAATAATAAAAGATTTTCTGATTTCTTTGTTGAAAACAAATGCAAATCATGCAATAAAATAGGAAGTGGAAGGTAAATTATTACCTGAAGTTCCATTTCGAGAGAAACACACCGGTCCTCCTTTCCCTTCAGCTCCCTCCGTAAATGCTTGACATCAGACTCAAGATCCCTCCTGCGAGATCTGCAGCTTTCAGTGCACTCGCTCTTCGCAGCAGCAGCGGCCGCAGCCATGGCGATGGCGCGCGCCGTGGCCGCCTCCTCCGCCTTCTTGGCCGCCTTGCGCTCATTCTGCAGCTGCGACTCGACATTGGAACGGACGCGTCGCTCATCGGTCAGCCGTCTCTCAAGCTGGGCGACGTTTTGCTTGTCCGACTGCCGGGCCGTCACCAGGTTGTGCAGCTTTGACTGCAGCGCGTCGTTGTCCGCTTGCAGCTGCGAAAGGGTGTTTTTCACGCTCTTCTCGCCCGAGATGAGATTGCTGATCTGCGACTTGAGCTCTTGTTCTGACTGTTTACTCGAGTGCAGGTCTGCTTTTAATCTCTTGATTTCAGCTTCCAACCTGGAGAGTAAAAATAAATTAGAATTTTTTATTAATTTGAAATTAGCCATTTACAAATTCTTTTCCTAAAATTTGAAATCCATTAAGTTAATCATGAATGAAAGGGGAATTTAAAGCTAATGAATAGTTCCTTTTTTTCTTTTCTTAATTCACTAAAATTACTCAAATTGAATTTCAAATTAATATACTGAGGAATAAAAAAATAATTAAATTTTAATAGAAACTTCCATGAAAGAGTTTATTAAAAAGTTCTTAGATTACCTTATACTATTCTCGTCCTTCTGAGGAACTGGGTTGGCCTCAGTCGACGGCGATTCCCTGTTGGCTTTGTTCTTGCGCTCCCTCTGAGAATTGACAGAATTCTCCTTGACCTGCGACCACTTGGCCGAGTTGGACTTGAGGGAGCCCTTGGAGCTCTTGTCCTTGTCCACCTCGTTCTCGTCAAAGTCGTTGATCGACCCCGGCTTTTCCATGTAGTCAATATCACCCGTAATGGAGCCGTTCATGTGCTTCTTCTCCTTGGCCTCATCACCATTGGATGCGCCCTTGTCCAGCGACTTCCTATGGTTGCTTTTTGCCACGCTCGGCTGCGACGCCGGTGTGCTGTGGTGGTGGTGAACGGAGCCGTTCGATATGCTGCCATTCTCCAGCGCTTTACTGCTCTTCTCGGCGCACGTCGTCTCCAACGGCGGCGTTGGCGGCGTCAACTCCACCGGCAGCGCTTGCTGCAAAAGCTGAAGGTAAAAGTCGTTCTCCTTCGACACTTCGCGCTGCTTTCTCTGCCGCATCCTGTAGCCCACGTAACTCTTGAAGCCAAACCCAAGAGTCACCACAGGATAGCCAATGCTGGAATCAGTGCCAATTAGTACTTGAATCGTAATTTGTTAATCAAATTTACCAATGAGCTGCAAACGGCCTGCAAAGGTCTAGGTGGAACGGCATGTGCCTCACATCACGGAGTCTAACCGCAGCCTCCACGTACACAAACAGCAGCCACAGCATAATTGTTGGCAAGCAGATGCCTTTCTCTGGAAATTTAACAAATATTTATTTATTTAATATGGAGATTTTGTTTATGCGAATTTCAGGTTTTATAATTTAGAATACAGGTTTTTTTTCTAGGGACTGACTGAATCAAAAGCCACATTTTTTTCTAACAATATTTACAATTGAAAAAGATAACACATAAAACCACAAGTTCATACTTTATCATAATTCTCCCTACCCCCTTGTTTCACAAAGAGGAAGTTGAGGTTACGATAGCTTTTACAATATTTTTACCAACCAAATTGAAATTGAATTAGAACCTTTGTTGCCTCTACAGAATTTACAATGGTAAAAAATTTTCATCAATGGAAATGTCAATAAATTTGACCTTTGACAGGAAATGTGTCGCAGTTCACAGTCTCGTTCAAATATAATTATCAAAATGGATTGTATTGATTGAGGCCGCATATGAATAATTTAGGCAAATAATTAGCGTCTTGTGAAATTGCAACAGCATTTGCTATTTCCCAGGCTTCTGTTCCAATTCCTTGAAAATAAAAATGTACTGACCTGTATGCCAGACGTACTGAACCCACACGTACGTACTCGCCGCAAAGAAAAGCCAGTGTACTGGGATGAAAAAGAAACAAATCATGTCTGAGGTGAGAGCAATGCAGATGAAGAAAGCGGAGAAGGCCTGCAAAAATAAACGAAAACATGAGTACAGTGGTTTTTCTTTTAAACTCCATTGCTTACCAAGCCTTGATACTTGAACGAGTCGTAAACACTTCGCAGCAGGAGCCAGAACGGCCAGAGAAACTCAAAACGGAACTCCAGAATGAAATCTGCCAAAATCACCAGCAGCCATAGTGCCAGAAACTTGACGTACAGAAGGGTGCTGCTGAAACAGGCCATTTTCAGTTTGAATTAGTTCTCAGTGTGGAGAGCATAATGAGGAGGAAAGCATTAAAAAAGGGAATTTTATACTTCCTTCATTGGAGTACAATATTATTTTCAAAGCCGATTAGCCTTGTTTTGATAAGATAAGCATCCAATTAAAAAAAACGAGTTTTTTATTTACTTTTAATTAAACGCATGAAAATATTAGAAAATGTTTTTAATTAATTTTCTGCATTAATTTTAAAATAAATTATGGACTTTTGATAATAACAACTTCAAATATGGGATTTTACTTTTGTGGAATAAATTTTGATTGAAACTGAATATAATATAAAAATTATGTTTTAATAATTAATTACATAAAAAAATCTATTTTCAAAAGAAAACTCTTCAGTCAAATGAAACTTTTTAGCACTACAAACAGTATGTACTGAATGTCGTCAATTACTTTACGAAACATCCATAGTTTTATGCATGATTTGAAAGGAAGTATGATTTTCATCAGTTATCATTGGTCATTATCAAGCTCGATTTTGTGTTTTTCTGTTTTCAATGACGTGAATGAAATTGCAACACAACCTAAACTCTGCCTTCACTGTTTTGAACATTTTTAATTAATTTAGAAAAAAAATCGACACGAAATATATTTTGCTAAGTTTGTCAAATTTTGAAAATATTTTCAATAAAATGTGAAAAAAAAACTAACAATTTTTAAAATAAAACACAAATTTCAAGAACATAATATATCAAATGCACAATTATAGCGATTTAGGCAAATTCTTAACATACGCGTTGCGCTGGTTGCATTCATAAATTAAATTCTCTGACGATTGACTCAGATTTTGATTAAATTTGTACGCGAGGAAAGCTAGAAAGTAGAACTAATAATGAAACAAAACTAAAAAATAGTGCCAAAAAAGCAAGTGAAATGGGATAAAATAGGCAATTTCTTACAGCCTGGACATGAAATAATTAAGAAACGACTTATTTCAATTTGATTAATTTATCCCCAAATCTTACACCAATTTTATTTCAAATTTCGTTGGTCACTACAAAACTATTTCTTCCACAAATCAAAAGCAAATTAATAATAAAAAAAATATTAGAAAATTCGAAAAAAAATTTCTACCCTTGATTTTTTTTTTTAATTGACATTTTAACTAAAAGGTATCTTTTTATTCCAAACCATGCAGAAACTGTCACGAATGCATGTGTAATTGGGTAGTGAAGGGTTCCATTGAGTGAAATTGATTACAAACAAGTATTATGATGCTTATATCAAGAGCCGCGGCGCCAATAGGTATAAAAACTTTCCGCCGGCGAGAACCATAAACGGGCAGCGATTAATTCCAGAAGGTTTCACGACATTAAAACTAGAGAGAATTATTAAAACTGGTGCACGAGCATGAATAATGAGATCATGCAACGCGTGTGACGTCTTCGATATCAAAGTCCCAAACCGATCAAGAAGATTTTTGGCACTGGCCCTCGGCGGCGCTCTCGAAAGAGAGAGATTTCTCGGCCCAGTTGCGGACGAAAATCTTTCTCGACCAGTGACTGGATTTATCGGATTTGCTGACAAACTGGTCCGCTCGCGAGAATGCCTAATTAGGGAGCGCGCGGGAACACGAGCCCAAGGGCACACATAATAACATCCCAGCATGCCAAAATGAAACATCTTTCGCCGCGAAGACGTGTCGGCGGTCGGCGAGAATTTCGCCAAAATGTGTTCGAATCTGATTTGCATCGAAGATCTGTGGGTGAAAAGAATGATTAGAGCGCTGGACCGGCTTTGAAATTGGGCAAAAAAGCAAAGTCCTAGTAGAAAAAGGGCAAATCTTGTAGTCGAGGTTCGAGTTCGGATTGGGCCGAGTCGAAGGCTCGGGCCTCAAATGGGGCCGAAAGACGGCGGCCGAAGGGTTTTTGAGCCAATTCTGGCTCAGCGGGTGCGGGCCGATTAATTTTCGGGAGCCAAAATAACAATTTGGGGTCAGCCATTTTGATAAAACACATATGGGCCTGTCGTACCTGCCGTACATTCCCTCTGTGATTTTGTTCCTTTTCAGGGGCCGCCGTAGTTTGCCACACTCGGCATTTCTCCTCTTCATATTCCTTATCAGTTACACGACTCGAGTGCAGCTTTCTTTGTCCGCCCGTGTGTAAAATGACTCTAAATTCACGCCGATAGTCGTGACACTGCAAGTCGGTTCTCTTTGTTGTCATCCGTCCGAAAGACACTGCGAGCGCTCGGCTGCAGATCTGCGCTCCCATTGGCCGACGCCAGCGCGCATGCATCAGGCACCCCCGGCCATTGGTCCAGCGCCGCGCTCCCATTGGTCCGCACGATTCTGCCGGCAAACGGGTTTTTCTTTGAAAGTTCAAGTCGTCACCCCGTGACGTATGAATGTGCAACACTCGCTGTTGAGTGCAAAAAAAAAGAGAAAAATAATACTACATACACAGCGAGCGCTTCAGTTTAGAGTGATCTCGCCGATCTCGGATCTCATTGCAAAGAGGGGCATAATAGCGAGGGAGGGGAAGGGGATGATAGTCAAGGAGAGACGAAAACAAAACTTATTTTCTTACGTTCTTTTGTTGCTGTTACATGCATTTCCTCTTTTTATTATATACAGAGTTTTTATCGTTTTTAACTTCTCAAAACCGCGGATAATTATGAGCAGCAAGACAACGACTGTCCTGCTGCTTTTCTACCCTACTGGAGAATTTATTCAACTGGCTGAATCAAGACAAAGCCTTAGCCTGGAACTTGGACCAAAATTTGTCACCCAAAATTTAAAGGTAGGTGTTTGTTTTCATTTTGCCGTTCCTAAACAAAACATGTTTTTGCTTGAAACAAGAACAGAATTTAAATTTGAAAATATAATTTTGCGTTAAATTGACTTTCAATTTTCAGGCATAAAAATCTCATGCCCATAAGATCAGACAGAGGATTTTAAAGTTTTATTAAATACCTTTTTAAGAGATTGTTATTGATTTTTTCGTTTTTTATAGAATGGTTGTATTTTTACTTACTACGTTTTTAATTTAATATTGATATATATTTTTATGGTAAGTTAAAAAATAAATTAACACGCTTTATTACTTTCATAAATATATTTATTTCTAATATTTACACAAAGAAATTAATCAAAATTATCGATCTAAATACAAAATTTACAAATTATCAGAACACAAGCACGCGTTTAAAAATCTTTTAAAAATTCGATGTACTCTTAAAAAATCTTACTGATCTATTTATACAATTAAATTGCACAGTTATTGAGATAATTATTCACAATTCCGTCGTCTCAAGTTTTCTTCCGAAAGGACTTGAGAGCTTCTCAAAATGCGTGTACAGATTCTGATGGAAGGTTCCTCTGTTAAGTTCATTATTTTCTTTGACCTCGCTGGATGACTCCTGCGTCACCACAATATTGCTCATCCTTAAATAAGAAAAATTTTTAATTTTCATTCTTATTTTATAATTTAACAAATTAAAAACTGATTTCAATTTAAATATTTAACAGATCGGAATATTTGGAGTTATTTTAATTGATTTAAATTACCTTCGTTCGGTGCCAAAAAAGATGGTCTGTTTATTGTTTGAGCGGCTGACGGGTGGTGTCGAGTTGGTGTCATCGTGACTCTCCCCACACGTTTCCTCCGAGGTTATTGCATTGTCGTCCAGCGAGTCCTGCTCCGAGGCTTGCCTGTGCAAAAAATAATCATATTATAAATAACACAATTTTCTAAATTCCTAATTTTTTTATTACTCTGTGGAGCCGTGCTCGACCTCCTCGTCGGATTTGTACCATTCGTTTTCGTAGGCTTGCATCCAAATGGGGTTGGAACCCTCGGTGCTGTGCATGTTTGTGTTCGGCACTCTTCCGGCTCTGCCTGAGAGTCGAACGGTTGGGGTCGCACCAACTGTTAAACGCGTTAAAGAAAGTTAAAATTAAATTTTTTTTCTAATTAAAGTTTATTTTTACCAAAAGCATTTACGGTGGCGGCTTTGATTTGCCTCAAGTATCTGGTCCGTTGCACCAAACACAGGGACAAAGTCAAAACCAAGAGGATGCTTAGAAAAACGGTGGCAAAGAAAAAGTAAAAGAGCAACATGTTCTCAGGCTCGGCCCTCAAAGCTTGAGCTTCTGCAGGTTGCGTGTCCAGCACGTTAAACTCCTGAATAAAAAATTAAACAACAGTTATAATATTAATTAATTAAAATAAAATTTTACTTATTAATAATAAACTTATTTAGTACTTGTCTTGCAATTTTATACAATTTATTTAAACAATATAAAATATTTTAAAATAGTTTTTATATTAAATCTATTTTTTCTAAATTTTTCAGAAAAATGTAATAATGTTTTTAAAAATTTATTTTTATATTTAATAGAATTGATATTAAAAATATTAAATTTATTCACAACTCCAGCTGCGCTCTTGTTAAATTAATAAAAATACAAATCATGATTGTTGAATTGCAACTTATATTTTTTTATCATTGTAATAATTATGAAAAATATCTCTCCACAAGCTTATTTTTATTTACCTTGAAAAGTGCATCAAGCTTTTCAATGTTGAGATCGACCCTTCTCAGCGCTTCGGCCACGTCCATTATCGAGTTGTTCCTTTTGTCCACCAAGTGGAGGTAGAGATCCGTTCTGGTTTTGTCCACCGTTCCATCACTATTCACGTGCACCTTGTAATCGTCCGCGTTCACAATTGCCCCCGTGACGTTTCCAAGAACACTGATTGTGAGATTGAAACAAAAAATTTAATGCTCGACTCCAATTTAAATTAAAAATTTACTCTCTGAATTTATCGATTTTCTCTCGGACTTCTCCAGGGTGTTGCCTCAACACAAATCGCACCCTCTGGTCCTCCCTGAGCAAATAAACCAGGGCAATGGCCTTGTCCTGAAGGCCATCCGTATCATTTGCAATCACCTTTTTAAAAAAAAAAATTGAATTTAAAAAAATTAATTAATATTTAAAATACTACCATGAATTCAAAATAGCCCTTCATTCCTCTCTGTGGGTCAAAGTTGAGGATGACCCCTCCGGTTTCGCGGTCAACCATAAACGGTGACCTTTTGACATGTTCCAGACCCTCGCTCAGGGTCATTTTGACATTTCCACTGAGGTAGTAACTGACGTTTCCGTGCTCAGGGGCGTCCAAATCGATCGCCTTTAATTAAAACAGTTAAATTTTTATTTAAAATTAATTTTAATTTACTTTGACGCGCATGAATTCCGTTCCGTAGTCAGTCTCCGTGGTGAAGCCGCCGGTGAAAATGTGTTTGACAAATTTGGGTGCGTTGTCGTTGATGTCTTTCACGTTGACGGAAACGCGAAGCAGCGAATTGTTGGAATTATTAGAATCTCCCGTCTGTGAAATCGCGGGCGTTTCGTGACAGTTTTCGGTCGCTCTGACAAGGAGCTCGTGCTTGGCCTGTTCCTCCCTGTCAAGCTCCTTAACAGCCTAAATCGTATCAAATAAATTATTTTAGTTTTTATTTTAATTATTTGAATTTTTTACTGTAAGTTCGTGAGTGTACGCATCGAGGTGGAATTTTTCAGCCGCGTCGCCTCCCACGATAAAGTAGCAAACAGGTGGCGGAGGACCATCGAGCAGATCGATTTCGTCCCTGTCTATCGTGTCAGGCAACTTGACGTGTTCCTCTCCAGGAAGTGCGTGTTCTAATATAATTGCAGGGGTTAGAAAAATGCAAATATTATATATATTTCTCTCCGAAATACCGGTAAAATTAACAAGGACTTTGTCCTTCACGAATTGGGGCTCAAAATCATTAACGTCTCGCACGTATATCATCAAGTCCAAGTCGGATGATAAAGGTGTTGGAATTCCCAGGTCGTAAGCCTCGACACGAATCTATATTTGGCGAATTATTAATTAATGGAATTTTTGATATTATTTATAGATCCAAAACGGATTCTTTATTAATTGTGAAAATAACCATAAAAAATTAGCTCCCCCTAAGAGCTTAAACAGGGTTGGCCTTTTCCTTCTAAACGCAATTTTACTAAACTTAAAAGAATAGTCATTAAAAATTTCTGAAGTAGCATTGCTGCTTGTTTTAAGCAAATCCAGTTATTAAGCTATTTTTAAAAGGCTCAAATTTTATTCATGATGGTAAAAGTCAAGGCTTAAGGAGTGTGAATTTTTAATGCTTTTAGACGTCGTCTTACTTTCAGAATTTAAAATAATTTTTTTACCAGTCTGCGACTTTAATTATTAATTTCAATATAATTTTAATTACTTCATAAATTTTCTGCCTCTCTCGATCCAAAAGCTCCTTCAGCTCAATTAGCCCTGTAACGTGGTCGATGTCAAAGGTTCGCCAATGGCCTAGTGGGTCTTGCTTGATTCGATATCGAACAGCCCCGTTGGCTCCAATATCGTCGTCAATGGCGTGGACTTCAATCACCGGAGTGCCGATTGTGGCGTTCTTAATTTTTATGGGTAAAAAATTAGTTCAATCGCAGAGAAATGGAAAAGGATTCTTACTTCGGGAACGATGACCGTGTAATTATGCGGGGGTGAAAGAAAGCGGGGCGCGTTGTCGTTAAAGTCAGTGACGCAAATCCTAACTTCCGTCGTGGCCTCGTTTGGCGGCATTCCCAGATCCTGGGCTTTTACAGAGAGGGTGTAGTTTCCATAGAGGGCCTTGAGAGTTCTGCCAGCGGTTATTTTCGCACTCGAAAAGTCCAAATTTTCAATCTCAAACAAGCCTAAATAGAAAAAATGTCACTAATTTATTAATTCCTATTCAATTATGATAAAAAGTTTATTTTTTAATAAGAAAATTGTTAATTATTAAACTTATTTCCGTTGGTACCTTGTTCATTTCCACCAACAATAGAGAAGACCATCCTTCCATTTGGAGTTAACGGATCGTCTTTATCGTGCGCCTTCACCACGGTAATTAATTCGCCAATGGGGTGAAACTCGGTGATGCTGGCGCACCCATCAAATATCTCAAATACGGGCGCCTCGTCATTGACATCCACAATATTCACCCTTAAATTTATATTTTAATTTCAATTTTATTAAAGTTTCTAATATAACTAACCCAATTTGCTTGAATGCGTTTCGACTCTCTCCGGATTGGTAGCCGAATTGATAATTATCCCAGGCTTCAATAATCAAGGTGTAAAAACTCCTCTCTTCTCTGTTCAGCACCTCGGAAATGTTCAAAACACCCGTGTCCGGATTTATTCGAAATTTTCCCTAGTAATTAAAATAATATGTAAGATTATTTGGAAAATTTTCTATTTTTACCCCTGAGGAAATTCGATCCAGCAAGTAAGTAATTTTTCCAAAATCGCCTGCATCCGCATCTCTAGCTTCCAGTCGGGCGATTTCTGTCCCCAAAGGTGCGTCTTCCCTCACAGTAATGTTCACAATATCGCCGACAAAAAACGGATTGTTGTCATTTTCATCCAAAATCTATACACAAAAATACTCACAGTATATAATATTTATAAAAATTCATTTAAAAAAATTTAGACACGTTGCGGGAAAGTTAAAAGCAATAAAATGAAAATTGTAAATATAATTACAAATCAATTACGAATCACTCTAAAACTTCAATAAATTTTTTAATTTTTTTCAATTCATTATTTCTTATTTTAAATTTTCCTTAAATTAAAACAACTTAATTGTAGACATGAAATTTTGGACTTATACAGAAATTACGCAAGCCCGCCGTGACCGCAAGTCGTGCAGGTTGCATATTTTTAATTCGAGCAGGCGCTCACCTGAATGTAGCACTCGGCAAAGCTGAACCGCGGCGGCACTCCATTGTCCGTCGCTCTGATGGTCACGTTGATCCAGGACTGCAACTCGCGGTCGATTTTGCTGCCGACGTGAACCTCGCCCGTTTCTGAATCGAGGGAGATCAGGTCGGTGTGTGGACCTTCGATGGAGTAGCGGATGGTGCGGTTTTTGTCGGCGTCGTCAGCCGTCACATGCATGATGACGACGCCTATCTTGCTGTTTTCGGTGATGGAACGTTGGTAGTGAGGCAGCCGGAACTTTGGGTTGTTGTCGTTCTCGTCATCGACCAAAATGGTCAAGTAGGCTGTGCAATAATAATTAAAAGACATAAATTTTATAGAAATAAAAATAAAATCATAAATGAAATAATTATAAATTAATTAAAATTGAAATTAAATAAATTTCTTAAACACATTAGAGCACTATTTTTCTTCATTAAAAGTTATTAAAAAGCAAGAGATTAACATAAAAATTTATTAATAAAATGTTTAATTAAATTTTCAATTTTTATAAAAAAAGGATTTTCTCTAACTTTATTTTTAAACTAGATATGTATAATTAATTATAATAATTTAATAGATTTTGTCTCTCAATAACTCACCTGTGGCGATTTGCGGTTCTTTCGTCGCAGCCAAGTCCTCAACCCTCAGGGCCAATCTGATCAAGTCGACCTTTTCCCTGTCCAGCCCTCTGGCCACCTTGATAATTCCGTCGGATGGGCTGACTTCAAACACGGCTGTGTAATTGTAGTCGGATTGCTTGACCCTGATGCCCTCCTCATTCCGCGCCTCGCTCTTCGCAGGGTCGATGTAGTACCTGAGCACAGGTCTCGCGTCCAGGTCGACCGCCCTGATGCGGTAAATAATCTCGCCGACCGGCACGTTTTCCCTCACGGCGATCGTTCCGGGGTCAATGAACTGCGGCGCCTTGTTGTTCACGTCCTCGATTTGCACCTCCACAATGACCTCTGCCGACTTTTGCTCCTTGCCGAGGCCACCGTCGATGGCCAGGACTTTGAGCACGTAAAGGTCGGTCTTGGGGTCCGTCTTGTCCGGATCCAGGCTTGCCCCCGGCGCCACTGAAATGGCACCGGTGTCGGAATCGATGATGAATTTGTCTCCGGCGCCTGACATCAAACGATAGGCAACGAGATTATTAGGCGAAGATCCGTCCAAGTCGTAAGCATGCACCTTAAAGAATTACAAAACAAATTTAGATTCCAAGAAAAGTGTACGAAAATTCATTCATTACAGTTCAATTATAATTTAATTGTATTTTATTCAAATAACTTTGACATAAAATTAAGTCCTGAAATTGATATATTTTTTTAATAAATAACATTTAAGTCACTTTGTTTTTCAATTGAGAAATTAATAATTTAATTATTTCTATATAATTTGAAATTAATTACCATAAGAATCAATTAATATTTATTTAGTACAAATATTAAATTTAGTGTTAAATTAAAATATAAATATATAATATTTAAAAAAAATTTATTAATTGTAAATTTTTATAATATAATTTTAATAAATTAATTACAATTTTAACTTTGAGAAAAAGTTAATCAGGATTTCTTTGACAATTTCGATTCATCGTTTCTAATTTAGTAAAAAGTAATAATATTTACTTTTGATTTAATTATCAATTAATTTTTTCTCTTGTCTGAAATACCTGAACGACAGGGCTTCCTCCTTCAAGGTCTTCAGGTATGCTGGCCGTGTAGTGCATTTTCTCAAATCTCGGCGCGTGATCGTTTGCGTCTTGCACGTACACAATGAGTGAAACTTCAGAAAATAGAGATTTCGGTTCTCCTCTGTCCTGCGCCCTGATGACCAAGTTCATCGCCCTGACGCCGTTCTGACTCGAGCCAGGAAGTTTTTCAAAGTCAATCAAACTCGAAGGTCGCACCCTGCCAGTAACCGCGTCGATTGTGAAATTTCGCAGAGCATTTCCAGCCACAATACTGTAGTAAATTTCAGTGTTTGCCGTCCCTATATATTTAATCATTTTGTAATTGTTTAATTTTTCAAATTAAAGTCCATACCGTTGAGATCTTCGTCGTAAGCCTCGATAAAGAGTGGTGGATTAAAATCATCACTGTTTTCCACGATTTTCGCCTCGTATTTGTCCTGCGCGAAGACGGGCGCGTTGTCATTGACATCCAAAATGTTCAAAGTGAGCTGCACCGTGTTTCTGAACCACGAAAGCAGTCAAATTAATTTCGCACTTGAATGTGAAAAGGAACGACGCGTGACGCGGAAGACGCGCGTGCGTTTTCTAATTACCTGTTTCCTCTGCCGAGATCGTCACGTGCCTCGACAGTCAGGTAGTGTCTTGAGATCAATTCACGGTCAAAGGAGATGTCGTTAGACTTGATGGTAATCACGCCGGTAATGGCATCCAAGTGTAGACTGAAAGTGAATTTTTACAACTCTAAAATAATTGCCTCTGAAATTAATTACATTTCTGCGGACGTTCCTCCGACGCTCGTGTACCTGATGCCCTGCGTGCCGAAATTGCCTGAATCTTCATCCATGGCTTGCACCCAGGCAACAGTGGTTCCCATTTTAGAGTTTTCGGGAACAGAAACCTAATGAAATTTGTTTGAAAATCAATTAATTAACATTTAAATATCACAAACCTCATAAAACGGCTCGGTAAATTCTGGAAAATTGTCGTTCACGTCTCTGATGAAGACGGTGACAGGCACTGAACTATATTTGGGGTTATTTGGCACAGTTTCTTTGGCAACAATCGTGAAATTCATGGCTGAAAAAATTAGTTAACAGTTTTTTTTCAGATCTCTCTTAATTAAAAACGACGATAATTACATTTCACTTGCTCATAATCAAGCATGGCTGGGTTTTTAACCCTAATTAAAAAGGACGCTTCGTTGATCCCTTCTCGCGGTGTCACTTCGAAGACACCCTTATCGCCGTTCAAAAATAACTGGAAAGTTCCATTATTTCCCTATAAAAAAAGATAATACAATGGTTTAAATCGTGTAAAAAAATTGATGATTTTTGCTCTACTTGGTCATGGTCGAACACTTCAGGCTTGGTGTTGCCCAGAAAGGTGAGAGGCGAGTTTGCCTGGGCACCTTCATTCACCTCGCAGACGTACGCGGCGCTCCTGAAGCGTGGCGCCTCATCATTAACGTCCATGACCATGATGGTAACCTCCGTTTTGGCAGTCGGCGCCGAAGACAAGGCGCGAGACTCTTCTTTGGCCTGCCAAAAGCAAAAGTTTCCGATTCAAGCGCTTTCTTTCATAATTTTTTCCAAACAAAATTCACAGCAAAAAGTCGGTCGAGAGTACAAGCGTGAAAATGTGTTCTTTTTTATCAGACAAAGAATAAAGAAGGGAATGACTTGGCGAATTTATCTCCAAAGCCGTTGCTCTGCTATTTCCTTCTGATCAAATAAAATACTCCACGCTTGGGTGATTCTTCAATAAAGATTCTGTAAAATTCGTACCGTTATCTCCAAGATGTAGGCGCCGTTGCTATTTTTCGGGTCCTCCCTGTCCAAGGGCCGCAGATTGTACACAATCCCCGTGTTTGAGTCGATTCCGAAAATCCCCGCTCCGCCTCTGGTTATGGCGTAAGTGATCTTGTTATTGACTCCACGATCTCCATCAATGGCTTTAACTGAAATAAATTTAAATAAATATCTTGAATTTTTTGAAATAAACGAACCTTTCAAAACGGGTGAGTTGATTCGCGTGTCTTCGCTAACTCTGGTAACTGGGGGCACGGACACAAATTCCGGAGGCTGGTCCTCGACGTCCTGCACTCTAATAAGCAGAGCAGCCGTGCCAGTATTTACCTTGAAATTTTCAAAATTAATTTTAATTGTAAATTGAATCAATTTGATCCGTACTCGTTCATTATTGGACCGGTCCGTGGCCAAAACTTTGATTTGGTACAAAAACTTTCTCTCGTAGTCGAGCTGACCGACCAGCTTGACCACTCCGCGCCCGTTGATGGTGGACACGGAGAACATGCCCTCCTCGCCGTCCAGTTCGCCGAGCGAGTAAACCACCTGTCCGTACGGCCCTTCGTCCAGGTCCGTGGCCTCCAGTTCTGCAAGGACGCGGGGCGGACTGTCCTCTCGGACGGAGATGGACGCTTGGTACGGCTTGAAAATGGGCGCGTTGTCGTTCACGTCCTCCACAATGATGAGCAGACTCTGCGTGATGAAATTTCCCTCGCCGAGACGACCGTCCGTCAATGTCAGGACAAGGGCGTATTCGTCCTTCAACTTTGGAGAAGGAATTTTTGTAAATATAAAATAAAATTTCAAAGGTTGTAAATTCAAACCTCTCGATCTAGCTCTTTTCGCAAGTAGATGTGGGCTTCGTAGTCGTTAATTCGGACGATTCGTAAAATTTCTTGACCAGCCTGTTCTCGCACGCCGAACGTCAAAGTGTCACCATCAGGATCGAAACCTCGGAGGCGGTAAATGAGGCTTCCTGGTATTGCAAAATAAAAATGTTTTTTCTTTTTTGCTCTTATTTTCATGTTAAAAAGTTTCATTTTCTTTTAATTGGTGATTTGCAGTCGAAATTTGAAATATTTCCAGACTTTCAGACAAATATAGTTTCAAGCAAGTATTTTGCATTTTATTAAAATAAAATTTAATAAAATTTAGATTTCATATTACATTATCATTATTTTACATTATTATTATTGCTATTTCTTTATTATATTTATTATATTGTTAATATGTTCTAAAGATTAAAATACCTCTAATTTATTAGAAGGCATGCAATGCATTTTAAAACAATTTGCTCATGAAGTTTGAAATAATGTTTGTATTAAATATTGAAGCGCAGAATTAATAAACTATGGGAGATATCTAAAGACATTTTCGAGAGGGCACATCAATATTCCAGCAATAATTTGAATTTTTTTTATTTAAATAATATAATAATTAATATAAATTAAATTTTCAAACCACTCTGAAAATTGAAAATCAAACAGAAGCTTTTTGCTCATAAAAATTGTTTATGCCGCTCATATTTTGAAATAAAATTGCATAATTGCAAAGACTTATTTCCAGAATGCACTTTAGAGCGAATTGAAAAATCAAAAAGACTTAATCACCAGTCAATCAAAATAATATTTAGATTCAGATCGAATGCCTAAAATTTCAGGGAAACTTAAATAAATAATAATAATTTTAATAGTTATAATTGAAATCAATTGAAATGTAAAATGAAAGTGTTTGCAAACCTGCTGGCGTGCCCTCTTTAAGACGAAGTACGATTTCAGTCTGGCCATCGATCATGAACCTGGGCGGGCGGTTGTTGTGAAGGGCCGAGGCGGAACCCAGCAGAGTCAGCAGCAACGCCCGCCACCAAAGTGCCTTCATCTTCGGACTATCCGAGCCACCTGTCGAACGACATCACTCGCTGCATGCTGGGTTTTTTCTCGTCCGAATGCTGCAGACAAAAACAAAGATAGAAAATAGAGATGCTAGCGAAAGTTATCGGCACTCGCTGCTCTCTGACACTGATTGACGCGGGATAGGAAAAAGCTGCAGTGGTGTGTTGTTGCGACATGGCAGGTGGAAGGAGCAGAGAAAATCTGTTGCGGTCTACATTTTTCCCGATGCATAGTCAAGTGCAAATAATGCGATAAATAAAGCACGAGCAATTGATTTTGCATGCCGACGGCATTTATTTGTGGTTAAGTAAATGATGTGAGATAATAAAAAAAAAAAGAAGAAGAAAAAACTACAATAAATTCAGCTGTTAGACCAAATTAAAGGTTTCCTATAATTAATTTCATATTTTCACAAATTCATAAAGTTATTTTTAATCTCATCAGATAAATTATTTTCATTCTTATCCATTCAATGATGAAAAGTGATTAAAAATTAGCAGAAATAAATCCTTTTTATGCAATTTTTCAAGCAAATTTAACTAACATGGGTAATTTTTATTTTCTAAAATGGTATTTTATATTAACGCTATTTAATAGTTTTTCCTAAAAATTAGTTCAGGTCGGTCTGGCAGTTCTACTTAAAACCACAGGGAATTTCCATATTATTTGAATTCGTCTTTTTAGTCTGCTGTGCTAACTGTTCTCTGCTTGATTGAGCCGTTCAATTAGTGAAGCGTCTTCTTATTATTGTTCGTCCAGCGTGTAAAGCCACATCAGTGACTTGGGTTTATTTCCCGGTGTGAGGCAAGCGACGCAACCGCCGTACTTTCGACACTGTGGTCTTCGCTCCTCCGCGACCTGTCATTCTGGTGTGGTAGACCAGAAACCCTTCGTTACTTCGGTGCTCCCGGAGCCTCGAAACGACCTCACGTCTTATATTTGAATGTACTCGATCCAACACACACCACTTCATTGTCAGTCTCTTTGATATGCTGCGTCTCCAATTTCACATCGGCAAAAGTTTGGCTTCAACTTTGGGCCAGATATGAAGTCTCCCCCCTCAATAATTGCTTTTAATCCTTAATTTTTGTTTCCTTTGGAATTTTTTCATTAATTTTGTTATATTTATATTTTATTTTATCTCAATGCAGATTCAAAACAGCCAACATTTTCCATCAAGTTAACAAACATTAATACATCAAAATTCAAAGTAATACGGAATAATTTGTAATTAAATTTTTTAATTTAGGAAAATTTTTGCACCAAAAATGAAAGTTGGCCTAAACAAATTAAAATTACCCTTTTAGAGTCAACCAAGGCTCACTGTGTCAGATAAAACTTTTATCTCAAAAGTTTTGACAAAATCTTTGTTAATGGGGGTGCCTTTTTCTACAACAATTGAACGTTTCCCTCCGATAAAATAAATTAAATAAATAAGACCATAAAAATGGCGCTTCTTTAAATTAAATTTTTCCAAGCGTTGTAAAGAATAAATAATTGTGAAATTTGCATAGGCTCAGTATATATTTTTGATTGTTGAAATTCATTTTAAAATTTTATTTAATTACCATTTCCAAAATTTAAAGAAACGAGCTGTTTTTTTTCATGTTATTTATTAAATTATTAATTATCTTTATTTTTTTCTTTCTGAAATTCTCAAAATTTTCACAATCCACGCAAATCTATATCGGCACGGATCTCATAGCGCACTTTTGCTTGCGTTGATTCTGAAAGATTTTCGCTTTTATTTTCCATGAACGTGCTTCTCTCACGACCGAAAGAAAGTCGTTTATGCCACAGATGTATGTATCAGGTTGTTGGAGCGCCACAAATCCTTAATCACCAACTCATGCGTCTTAATTTTTTGAGCCGCGCGAAACAAATAATGCTGGAGTGTAAAAATAGCGCGTGCACGCATTTGCTGCGATTTTGAGTTGGACTGTTTAGAGTTTAGAGCGAGCGAAGGTGAAACAGACCGAAAATATATACAAACAGCGGCACCGTTAATGACCAGCGCTAAGCCATTATGCACAGCAGATTAACTTTTGGCAGGGTCAGGCGAGAGCACAAAGGCGAGCCCCGTGAATGCAGAATTCGCCCAAAGTGCGAGCAGCGGTGAGTTTTTTGTCTCTAAAAAAGCGAAAAATCGCGGGCCACGGAGGATCCGCCACACCTCAGCCTGATTCACTGGCCGGTCGATCACTTATTGCATTATTTGCGCCTGGGAAAAATCAGTGAATTTCAGCGAAAATAATAAGATACTTTATGAGCTCAAGTAGGTGAATAGCTGAAAAATCTGTGATTATTTTCAAGTAAATTTTTTTGTTTTTGGTTTCATTCTTTTTTTAGGGAAAATTTTTGATTAGAATATTTTCCTGTGAGATTTTGTATTTGTAATTAAAATAAATGTGAAAAATCTCATAATTTGGGTTTTTATTAACTCGATTTTTGGTACGATTTTGGGTGATTCTAAAACCTCAATTTTTAACTTCATAAGTATTAGGACTCGGTCAGTGCAATACAATTAATTTTTATATCAAATGGTTGAAAATGTGATCACCAATTTTTCCTAAACCTATAGCATTATTTGTATATTGTATATGTTTATTGCTAGAAGAAGAACTGCGAGATGATTTTTTTTATACTCTTAATACGCTTGATTGCGTCTTTGTAAAAATCACACGGGAGGAGTTAATAACGTTGGGATGCAGTCAAGCTGCGATTCACAGAGGAAGAATGCATGTGGATCGGATTTGTGTCCGTGTCTGTTTGCATGTGTCTGATTATATTCCTCGCAGAAAAGCACAAAGAGAGTTGAAGTGGGCGAAATGGGATTTTTGCCGAGTTTGATAGACATGGGAGAATTGGATTGAATGGATACAATGAAATTGCCTGTTTCTTCAATGGAAACTTGATATAGCATCCAAGTCTAATTGTATCCATTTTATTCACCATCCTATTTTGATTTGGAGATATTAAAAAAAAATATATGTATACTTTTAATAATAATGGGAACAAAAGTAAGTTAATAAAAATGAGGATTATAAACAAACAGTTTGACTTTCCAGCAAATACGATTTGTGCAAACCGCTTTATCCAAAATTTCAAAATTTTCAAAATCGGCTAATAAGAGACAAAATTAATTAATTAACAGTTTTAATTTAAATTATAATTTTCATGAGTTTTTCCAGTTTTAAATTTTGTTGTTTGATTAATGGGTTTCCATTTTGGAAAAAGTTACCCTTTCTCAAGAAAAAAAAAAACAACCTAAAAAAGGGGATGGAAAAAGAAGTCAAAATTGAAATTAAAAAGACTTAATTTTTCAGCAAAAATATTAATTAAAAATTAAAATAAACTTAGCCCTTGTTATTTTTGTTTCTGTTCGTTATTATTATTTTAATGTTTTTTTTTTTTTTTAAATAATTTTTTCATCTTGGATTTTTAGTCACAACAGCACCTTCTGTCACATTTCACACCTGTTGCAGTCGAATCACTTCTCCTCGGCTGTGAGAAATATTGTGGTTTTTCTGCATGAAAAAAGCCTGCTACACCGGCCTTCAGGAAAATCTCACGTTTTGAATACGCAGGAGTAATTTTTCAAAATTTATTCCCAAATAAAAACACGAGTAGTCTCATCAACATTTTACACGCTGCTGCCGAATTCGTGAATCACAGACCGTGCGCCAAATAACCGCCCAGAGGCCCGAAATAAACGTCAGGATGAAGTTGTTTTGGTTGGTGTAGGATTTATTACATTATCATGCCATGCTTTTTGGCAAGAGAGAGGGGCTGAAATGTTGCAGCCAGGCCGGACATGGCGGGCCGGAAGTTTCCACCTCACTGAGTATAGCGGGGACCGGCAGAGTGAACGAGGTAAAAAAACAATTAAAAAAGTTTTTTATTGTTTCCTCACTCTGGGCTGGTGTGTGCTGCAGGGTGTGGACTTTCTGGTGCACAAAAGGTTCAAGCCGACGCGTGGCTGTGACACCTATAGTACTTAACTTATGAATGGCACCAAGCAGGCACCAAGATGACAAAGTTATCTAACTGTGAATTTATGTAAAAAATTATTGTACTTAAACAATTATATTTCCTTTAAAAAGTATTTTTTTTTTTAGAAACGATAAATATGTCAAAAAGTTTCCATTATAAAAATGTATATAAGTGCAAAATATTTTAAATTTAAGAACTTATTTAAAATTAAAAAAAAATCACCCTTCTTCTAATTTTAATCTATATTGCGCAAGTATTTTTATGATTAAAATCTAACCAATTCTAACATTCATTAAAAAAAAATAATTACATTTATATAAAACAATCAAACTATCAAGAATATGTAATAATTTTCAGTGAAATAAATAAAATTTCCTACTGAAAAAATGAAATCCACCTCAAGTGTTACCATTCAAATAAAATTTCCTGCTAATTCTGTTTATTTTTATTCCCTTTATGAGTCTCTGTAATTTTTATTTGATTGTGAGAGTTGAATTAATCTGACGTGAAAATCGTGCGTTGAATTCTCTCTGCTTTCGGTTTCCATCTTGGACCTTCTTGCCTGCTCAATTTCGCCTCTCAAGGAGAAATCAATAATTAAATTTTCGATCGAAATCCTTTCCCACGCACCGAGATTAATTGGCACCTAACTTCGAGCGCTTTCGTCGGGACAATATCGAGGTCTCGTGGCGTAAATTTGTAGGTCGTAATCATGCAACGTGCAATACACGTTCAAACAAGAGATGCTCCCACGACAGCGACATTTCTTCTCACGCTACAAATATAGCTAAACGACGAGAGAAGATGTGGAGTAGAGCACACGACAAAATACACACAAGTTTATATTAAAGTTATGAATCGAGGCGCGCGTATCACTTTTTGCGCGACATCCTTTTGTGTGTTGATATCAAATTAGTCTAGAGCACGGTCTTTGTTTTTCTAGAGCCAAGCACAAAGAAATAACGAACGAATGAATGCGGTGAGCGAGGAGAATTCTTTCTGACCGAAATGTCCAACGATTTGCAGGTGATCGATTGGAATGCGAAGTAAATTGGCAGGCCAA